TCATTGTATGCAGTGAGATCGCTGAGTAGGGCCCAGTGCATGCACATCTCCAAGAGAGCTCTGGCCCCCGGCAGGTGGAACACACCAGAATGTAAGCCATGGAGAGGGAAGCCACAAAGCAACCAGCCTGGTGGTAGGCATTTGGCACAGCACCTGAAGCATGGCTTGGGATGCCCACGCCCTATCTCAGGGCGCTGGGTACACATCTGGCTCCGTTGACCTCAGCTTCTTGCAGTGCACATCAAGGAAGACAGGAGAGGCAACTCCCATAGCTGGGTCCCTGCCAGCCACCTGAAAGACTCAAGGGCTCTGGCCTCCTGCCTTGGGCCTCACCACGGCCAGCTGCAGCAGGCATTCGGTGGAGTGAACCAACAGATGGAAGATCACTTTCTCTCTCAGTCCCTATGAGTTCCTCTGCGTCTTTCTGTCTCTGCCGTTTGAAATAAATAAATAATAAAAGGAAGCAAATATTTTAAAAAGGAAGAACCCGCCGCTTTGATCTTGGGTTTCCTGTCCTGCAGAGCTGCGTGGGAACAGATCTGGGCTGCTGCAGGGCCAGCCTATGCGAGGTGAGACGGCCCCCTGGCAAGCTCAAATAACCTCTCTTCAAACACAGCTCTGTGCCTGGAGCTTGTGGTAGCAAATGCCAATTTCGGCTGCATGGGAAATTGCCCAGAGGTATCCGGTAAAGCATCTTCCCACACAGGTTATAAAAATAAGGTGCCAATTTCTGAGTTACAGAATATTTTAAAAACATTAGAAATGATGAGTCTTCCTTCTTAAAGGCTGTTACCTAAAAATACTAATTATAGCATAGCTACTCATTTGGAAAAGTTCTGCTTTCTTGCCTGATGTCAAAAACGTGGCATTGGAAATTCAATACAGCTGTCTCCTATTTTTTTTTTTTAATTACCAAGATAAGAGTATCTGAATAAAATACTACGAATTTTGAAGTATTTTTCTGGGCACCAAAATTCTACTATGCAGTTAAAGTAAACAGTCTTCTGGAATCCAAACTTAATAAAGTTGCTCTCTTATTTTCAATATTTCTATGTCTAACACATGGATTTTGGCTCTTGATTTCCGTTTGATTGTATGCATAATGAAGTCATACTGCTTTTCCTGCACTGAGAAGTGATTTTTGGGTAACCTACGGATACTGGGTCATAGATAAAAACAAATGAAAAAAAGAGACTCAAAATATTTCATATTTAATACCATAAGTCAAAGGCCCACTAGACAAATAAAGCCAAATACTAACTTGAATTTAATGTCCAAACATCCAATAACCTTGTTCATGACAGAACAATCATGTTTAAGGTGCTGCCTTAGAAAATATTTATGAAAAGTATGGGGTTATCGCCAGACTAGACTGAGGACCTAAAATATCGTAAGAAAACATGTTTTATGGTGAATAAAGTGAGGCTCAAGAGTATTGATGGGGCCCAGTGTGGTGGCCTAGCAGCTAAAGTCCTCGCCTTGAACACGCTGGGATCCCATGTGGGCACCGGTTCTAATCTCAGCAGCCTCGCTTCCCATCCAGCTCCCTGCTTGTGGCCTGAGAAAGCAATAGAGGATGGCCCAAAGCCTTGAGACCCTGCACCCACATAGGAGACCTGGAAGAAGCTCCAGGCTCCTGGCTTTGGATTGGCTCAGCTCCAGCCATTATGGCCTCCTGGGGAGTGAATCAGTGGATGGAAGATCTTTATCTATATATATATATATATATATATCCTTCTCTCTCTAAGTCTACCTTTCCAATAAAAAAAAAAATCTTAAAAAAAAAAAGAATCCCAATCACTCATTAACAAGTCTGATGAAGTTAGACTGAACCAATCAAATCCCCATCTATGTGTATTCGTCAACCTTTTATCAGCTACAATGTGAGACGTTAACTTTAAAAGGGGGAAAGCCTTTTCTGGGCTCCAGGTTCAGGAGGTTCATAGTGGACGATCAAGGCTCACCTAGTGAGGCAACCAGTCAGGGTGTGCTAGCTGATGGGGTCCTGAGATACACAGGGCAATTACACAGCAAGCAAGAGCTCATGGCTATGTCTCCGTGACTGCTTAGAAGTCAAGAGGCACCACCTTAACAGCTTCCTCCTGGCCAATCAGTTCCCTAAGACCCCACCACTCACCAGTGAAAGATTAACTTTATACGCTCCTATCACCGCTAATCTAAGACTTCCAAGACAGAGCCTATCAGGAACACTCAACATCCAACTAAGACCCAAACCATAGAACTAAGTAACGCCCAAATGCACGTGAGAATGTGATGACATGCAATGCTTTCCATTGGCTTCAGTGATGCTGGACTTCATTTTGCAGTTCCACTGATCAGAGATGGCCCCACATGCACAGTACCGACCCAGGCAACAGAGTAAACCGTTCCTTCCACTGTCACCTCAGATAGCGGACTTCAGTCTCATGACAAAATGCCCATCACAGCCTTCATTAAATTATAATTAAACATATACTTAGTAAAACTCCTGGCCCAGAACAGGAGAGGCAATGTTGTCAGCCGGAGTACTGTGAACTGTAGCGTCCTCAACAGCGTCATTGATGACTATTCACCCAAAAACTCAGCGGCAAGACAGGAAAGCAGGAGACCACACCACACCGTCGCTGACCGCAGTCCATCAACTGAGTGCCCAGCACACCCTGGGGCCTTCTCTTCCAGCTCAGTCCCCGCAGTCACCACCAGCCAGGAGGAGGCGTGCAGAGCACTCCTGGCTCTCAGCTAAGACCCCCACTAAGGGCTAATGATGAGCCCTCTTCAAGGGTCAGAGCTGTGAAGTGCCTGGAAGAGGCCCAACAACTTCACTGGGCTCCAGCGACTCCCTTAAGAATATCTGATGTTTGTGGCATATTCAGCCACTGCCTGCTGCTCTGGCGTTCCATTTGGGTACTGATTTGAATCCCAGGTGCTCTACTTCAGATTCAGCTCCCTGCTCATGCGCCTGGGAACGCAGCGGAAGACGGCCCAAACACTTAGGCTACTGCAAGCACATGGAAGACCCAGATCAAGCTCCGAGCTCCTTGCTTTAGCGTGGCCCAGCTCTGGCCATTGCAGCCATTTAGCAAGCATACCAAGGGATGGAAGATATCTCCCTCTGCCTCTTTCCCACCCTTCCTCCCTCCTCTCCTCCCTCTCTGTAACTGCCTTTCAAATACATTTTCAAACACATATCCAGTTTTATTCAGTTCCCTTGCACTGCCTTATCCACTGGCTTTACTTTGTTTCCTCTAGAAACTGCTTATCATGCTTAAATAAACATAAATAGGGAATTTTTTTTCTTTTGACCAGTTGAAAAAAAAAATCCCATGGTTAACAATGCACACAGAATTTCTGGTCTAATCCCTACTCACACACACCAGGATGTTCCTGCGGGATTTAGGTCAAAGGTGGATCTCCTGTCTCCCATCAACGTCCTGAGTACCCAGGCCTACATTGGACATACAATTTCTCAAACATAAGAAGCGCATTTTCTCCACATTTCCCTTGGCGATGTCAAATTCCTCACATGTGGCTAGACGGGTTCAGTGCGTAATCATTGTTTATTTCTTTAGCACGTTTTCTATCTACTGTGTGTAGGCTGCCAGACATTTAAAAGCTTTCCACTTTGAAGCACAAGTCAACAGAAAAAAAAAAAAAAGATAGCAGAGACTAAAAAAAAAAAAAAAAAGGAATTCTTTTAAACAAAGGCTGAATGTGGTTTAACTCAGACCGAGTTTTTGAAGTCTACCAAAGCCACAGCACAAAACAATGCTGACAAGACGGCGCGGAGGCCAGTGCACAGTAAACCGAGGCTCAACACAGCACAGCAGCCGGGCTCCCAGCAGGCATTCTACAACCTGGCCTCCAAACCGACATGGGCAAATAATGCTTTGCCTTGTTTGCCACATTTTAAAACACCAAACCATTCTGTTGCATCGCTTGCTTCTGTCTTGATGGACATTTGACACGGTTCCTGTAAGAACCACTGAGTCCTCCCCGCTGCTTGTGCAAGTCAGGCTGTTACAGCGCTGAGGGGTGCCATGAGGGAACAGCCCCGACTAAAAACCCACATCTTTCCCACCAGCAGGAAGGCAACCTGCACAGGCTGGTGACCACGTACGTGGGAGAAATAACGCAGCATCCCAACCTCTGTTGCTGAAAAGTGGTCCTCCTACCCAACCCACTAAGAACAGGGAGTGGGAATGAGATCCAGGGCCAACCCTGAAGGTCAAGGAAGCCCTTGCTGGTTTTACGTCCTTATAACATTTCACTGTCAATGATTTATTCCATGCCATTTGTTTATTCCATTGCATACCATCTGTTTTCCGGTAGAAAGGTTTCAAGTTTTTCTCATTCCCTATTCCATATCCCACAGAAAACAATTTATACTAGAGGTGGATTTCGATCATTTGGATACATGTGGCGCTGGTAACTCGAGCTGCCTCTCCTTTGCACTTGGCAGATGCTATAATGGGATTAGCAAATTGCGTTATTACGAGGTACTTACACGGGGACAACATCTTTTTTCACGGTGACAAATGATGTTAACAGTTTCGTTGTGGGTGTTTAATAGCTGTACAGAAGATTACACTAAGGTTACAGGAAATTGCCCTGATAGACAATAAAACCTCACCACACATGGTGTCCATATCTCTCATTTGTGAGAGCAGGGGGACGTGTATAACAGGACGGAGCGAGCTCTGCAGTAGGGAAGAATACCAAGTTGCTTCACCTCTAAGGGGATGCCATTATTGTACCCACAGACCGAAAAAAACCTGGCTGGCTCCTACATTTGGTGGCTTCTCCATGCGCTAGGATATAATAGGGCTGCTGAAGGCAGACTCCAGAATTCCCCAGTTCTGTTTAGGCCACGCACCCCAATCCAGCGGCACCCATCTACCCTGAGCCTAGGGCACACTCTGACATGCTCTATTCGAGAGCCACCGCTCAGAGAAACAAATCCTCCAGGAAATGACAGAGATGATGTGTAAAGCGTTAATTACCATTTGCACAAGAATCCTTCCTGCTTTCATGGGGAGGAGGCGCCTGGTGACAGGACCCAGCAGCAGTCCACAGTTCGTGATTGACATCCAAGAGGGGGAGGTCACCTGTCTTGTGATCTGCTTGATTTGCACAAGTCCTGGTCAAGTCGAAATGCGATACACTTGGGGGGTAAGTGACATCCTGCTGGACACCTGAGGGACTGGGTTTGCTGAAAGCATTCAGTGGCGTTCGTATTAATGCGTCATTGAGGAAGAATGAGTTTTCATGACATAAACTCTCAGATCTAGTAAGTTCCATTACCTAGGTAAAGAAATACAGAAAAAGCAGTCATTTCTCCAATCACATAAATTTTAAAAAAAAGTACTTATTCCATCAAGATTTCAGTAACAGTGCAGCTGAAAACAACATTGTCATTACTGCCCTTTCCCAGTCCTTTAGAACGAACTAGATCCAAAACCTTCGAATATGTACTGCCGATCCAAAGTGTGCAAGCACACGACACAGGAACTTGCACTCAGATGCAAGCAAAGTAAGATGTGGTCACAGACTCTCCCCAAAGCTTCCTCCTACTCCATCATGGATTCATACAGTTCACGTTGCCTAGTGTTCGTGCAATGGATTTTAGATGGACGATTATCAGATTTACAAAGACAGGACAGGTTGGCATAACAGAATAATGCCAGCCTTGCGACATTTCCTAAAACACACCTCATTCGTTCGCAAAAAGGTGCACCTGTTACAGAACATGGTAAAGCATTCTTTTCCCATTATAAACCAGATCACACAAAGACGGGCCTTCAAACAGAAGGAAAGCAGCCTGTTCACAAGACATCTGCTCCCAGGACAAGGAGCAGGGCCCTTTCAATTCCACGTTTCCTGCCGCGGCAAAGGCAATCACAGAACACAATGACCAAACAGGACTCAAACCTTTAAAACTCCCAGTTTTAAAGATATGGAGCCAACACTGTGGCATGGCAGGGTTAAACCATTGTCCGTGATGCTGGCATCCCACACAGGCATGGGTTCATGTCCCAGCTGCTCTGCTTCTGCACCAGCTCCCTGCTAATGGGCCTGGGAAAGGTGGTGCAAGTGCTGGGGTCCCTGGCACCTACATGCGACATCATAATAGAGGTCCTGCCGTTTGGGGATTGAATCAGCAGATGGATGTGCTCTCTCTCTCCTTCTCTCCTTTAAGTCTGGCTTTCAAGTAAATAAATCAGTTTTTAAAAATCAAAGCATCTATGTGTTACCTCTGAAAGTTCTCAGCTACAAACTGAAAAACTCATACGAAGTGCTCAAAACCCAAGGACACAGAGCAACCAGGACTCAATGTGTCTTTTGGAAGCTACCAAGACTCCCCCGGGAGAGCCATACCTCCTTTCCCCCTGCAGGGAAGGCCACAGGCAGGCTCCTCTGGCGGCCATGTCTCCAGCGGGACAGCAGACTCTGCTGGAGGCGCACCTGCTCGCGCTCTCTCTCCACCATGCGCTGGCCCTCGCGCAGCCGCTCCAGGTTCTGCTGGTACTCCTGCAGCTGGTGGTCCAGCTCGCCCCGGTTGCGCAGCAGCAGCTCCTCCTGGGACTGGCACTGGCGCTCTCGTGCCTGTAGCAGGCTCTCCTTGGCCTCCTGCTCCCGCTGCTGCTGGTCGCACCTGCGGTGCCAGCGCCGCTGCTCCTGCTGGAACTGATGCCGTAGCTTATAGATGTCAGCCAGCTCCTCGCGCTGCTTCTCCGGATGGCGGCACTTGTCCTGGTCGGGAAAGGGGCTGCCTCGGAAGGAGAGGCTGGGGGCCAAGCTCTCCTGCTGCTGGAGAACCAGTTTGTGGATCTCGATGTGGCTGTCCTGAATGGTCAAGGCGGCCTGTGGGAGAAGAGACGAGAGACCACCTCACACAGGCTCCATGTGGCTTGCTTAGAGAGACCTCTAAACACAAACGCACGACACGAATAGCCTCCTTTCTTCACGCACTTTCTCCAAGTTAGTGCCCCATGGTGTTTCAGATAGGCGTGTCTGCATTTCCTACTAGTCTGAGAATTTACAAAGAAAACACTCAATAGAATCACTCCGCACCATCTGTAGGGGAATGGGGCCAGCACTCCCCCACACACCAGAATCTCCTTTAGGAAATGATGTTCTGGGACTGGCGTTACAGCCCAGCGGAGTAAGCCACCACTGGCAGTGTCAGCATCGCATATGGGCACCTGTTTGAGTCCTGGTTATTCTACTTCCAGTCTAGCTCCCTGCTAATAATTGTGTCCCTGCACCCACGTGGGACACCTGCAGTTCCTGGTACTGAGCTTCAGTCTAGTCCAGCTGCAATCATTTGGGGCGCAAACTAGTAAATAATCATGCGCACACACGCTCTAATTCTTCCAAATAAGAAACAAATCTTTGAAAAAAGAGACACAGTACAGTGTTGGCTTTTGAGCCCTGCCACCTCTCTGTACACTTTAAGTCATCTCCAGATTACTTTCAATGCTTAGAATAAGCTATTGCCTCATTTAGCAAAGAACTGGGTGCTCAGAAATTTGAGTGTTTGTCTTTTTAGAACTTTTTGGAATTTTTTTCAATTTTTTTTTTCCTGTGGAGTTAGTGGAATCCACAGATGTAGAGCCAGTGACCACAGAAGGCTGGCTACACCGGTCTCCTCTCTTGGAAACGCGGTTTCCTGCAGTTACTGGATAATACTTGTCTTCTGGAGGAAGACTCGATGCTTAAAGACATGAGGCTCTGACTTCCTGTTCCGCACGCCATTCTCTTGCCGAGGTCTCCCCAGGTGGTAATGCACAGGAATTTAGGAATCGAAATAAACGCACTAGTATCCTGTATTTGAGTCCCAAACCAGAAGTTACTTTCATGAGCACATAAAAAAAATAAATAAATAAAACTCCACTATCCGAAGGCTTTTGGTAAGTAAGCTCCCGTAGCATAATGCCAAAGAATAGCAGTTAAAACTGTGTATGTAAGTGGTTAACACTGGTCTCCTTACTGTTCTGTCTTTGGCAACTGAAAGGTCATGCATAAAAAATGAAGCTGAAATTCATTTGTTAATAGATTGCCAACAGAAGTCTGGAATGATTAAGGGAAAAATAGATACTTATAAACCCCAGGGGTCTTACCAGCCAGATTTTTTTTTTTTTAAATGGAAGATTCTGCCAAGCTTTTCATAGGCCTACGAAATGTTTGGCAGCATCACAGGAAATAACTGCCAAGCTTTGGGATGATTCCAGAAACCAACCAAATACACAACAACAACAACAACAAAATCCCTGTGAATGCCCTTGGAAGCTTTGAATTTTTAAAGTTCCCATTGAAAGTGCAAAGAAGTACAGAAGGGACAAATTAAAAATGAACATATACTGGGTTGGGACTCAGCATGAGAATTCGTCATTCGCCAAGTCATAAACTCACACTCTATTTTTTTTTTAATTTGAAAATTAATTTTAAGCATTCCAGACTTTGGCGAATCTTTGGTTAGTGGCTTTTAGAAGTTATCGCGACAGAGCAATAACCATGACCGTGAGCAGGTGTGATTGCTCCCCTCTGGGGAGCAGGGATCACTCCAGCATCAAGCGCACGACCCGGCAGACGACTGCACATCCTCACTTTACCCTCACTGATCCTTGGCTCCTCAACAGGACCAAGCACACAAATCCAATACAAAACTATTACATACAATAACCTTTATGTAAGGGTTTCAGTGAGAACAATGAAGTACTACCACAAACTGTTCTTCACAATCACTTGAGATTGAGGATAAAACCATTCTCCTTCCTGGAGCATGGAGATCGGATACTCATTTCCACACTTCACGTTTCCATTTCTGCTTAGGCTAGGAAGCCACGTTTGCTTTTCAAATTTTAGAAAATCCTTAATTCACTCTCTCTTCACTTTGTTAGAACCTGTATTCTTTCCCTCCTGCTTTGTTTTTAGTTCGTCTCGAGCTACACTCTCTGAATAGAGATCAAATCTCATTTCATCCTTATTTCTACAAACAGGTTCAATCACACATAAGAAGTTCCACTTCAAAAGGCGTCAGTGCCCGTGCCGTGAGCAGCATCTTTCGGAGCCCACATTCCCAGGCAGCCCCAAGGCTGTGCTTCGCCTGAATCTCTACAGACTTTGATATGTCCCCGGCTACTGCGACCTAACGAGATGTCAAGAGCAGACCAGTCAGGTCCCCAGGATTTTCTGAACCTTGAATCCACACAGGGCTGCTTCCAGGGCGGGAGAAGAGAATGCACCCCAGGAGCGAGGCAGGCACACTAAGCCCCAGCGCCCAACGCCTGTTCCTTCTTATATCTCTCCTCACTTAGCAGGAAGCATTGTTTGCTCAGCATGATAATTTGATACAAGCATCTCCCCCAGACTAGCAACCATGCTGAAGGCATTCGCCTAAGCCGTGAGTGAGATGAGCAGAGTCCTGTCACCTCTATTATTAAACACACCTGCAGAAGCTCCGGCCAAAGTGGTAAATGAAATTGACGCAACTATAGGAGGCTAGCGTAACACTTTTATTCTGGAATTTTTATTTCTACCTGACTCAAAAAAAAAAAAGCAATGGGAAAACTATTAAAAGATAAAAATTGACAGTTAGCCAGGTGTAAAAGTAACACGTAAAAATTAGTATCTTTATTAAAAGAACAATTGTTGCAGAAATAGAGAGGAAAAAAAATCCTCTTCATAACAGCAACAAAGAAATGGGAAGACATTAGATAACAATCCGTATGCATGGTGCCTATGTAAGACAGGAATAAAGCAGCCCAAAGCACAAGGCGCTGGTCCAGGCTGTGAGACCAGAGGACGACCACAGCAAAGGTGGTCTCATAGCTAAGCCACAAATATGATCACGTTTTATATTAACAGTCTTCGTTGGTTAGAACTAAGGAACTTGCCAACGTGCTCCAAAAGTTCTCATGGCTCAGTATGCCAATCTGCACAGTAAAATAAGATGAGACTGGTGCTGCCATGCCTTCAAATGTAAGACAAAGCTTCCATGATCAGGGTAGTGGCACTGGCGCAGAGATCAGGCCACGGGAGGAGAAGAACAAGAGAGAAAGATGTCTCGGTGCAGCTGAAGCATCAACAAGACAGCATCGCGTGCAGCGCGCCTGACATTTCCTGGTGAAGATTTCTATTTACACAGAACGTGGTAACTTACCCTAAGAAAACCCTCAGATTTAATCAGAGGTCAGTATACCAGTTGCTCAGCCCAGCATGATTAATAATGCAAAAGACAAAACCCAAGGGTTTGGATAAATAAACTCTACAAAATTCAGTCTGACACAATCCTTGAAAACGGAGCTACAGACTAACAGCTGATGCTACAGAAAGGCCTGCGGTGTTGTTCTTACACCACCCGACTCAAATCTGGAGGGATATAAACCAACACGACGATTAAGAATTCCTTCTGCAGAATCACAGGTCAGTGTCTTCTATGTTCAAATTTCTCCATAGGAACAAACACTGCTTGTGTATCATTTCAAGAAGCAACAGTAAGCACTGAGCCATCTTCTTGTGTGTGGCCTCCGGGATCACCCAATGCTTTCATGTCTAACGCAAGTAGGAATTTTATGCCTGTTCTTCCTTGAAGAGTAAAATAAGAGTACCTGAAAAAGTTCATACAAAGTGTCTACGATGGGAAAAAAAAAAAAAAAGAGTATGCACAGATTTCAAAATTGCTTTGCACCAAAACAAATTTCTCCTCATTTCCCTTTGCTCATGAGCGCTGTGGAGCACCCTTGGGAGCCACTCGGGTTCCGTTCGCCCTCAGCATCGTGCCCAGCAGAGGCTGGGAACTCAGTATCTGCGGAGTGGCTGAATAAGCAAAAGCATGAAGGAGCGTATGAATTATTTAAGCACTCGAGAGGCCCAAGGCCACATGCAGAAGTGAAAAAAAGTGGAGGTGTGAACTAAAGTTTTCACCAGGAAACATGAAGCCATACTACGCTCACCCAAGAATTCCACGGTAAACACCAAGCCAGGCCAGAGGCATCAGTATATATATATATTTAAAGATATGAACTGTTTTACGGTCAGAGAAGAATGGTGTAATGTGTAGCAGTGGTACTGTTTGGTGATTACAAAACCAGCTGGGGCATTCAACACTTGGAGCACAGTCATGCTAGGTGGCTGACATTCCCTGAAGCTCGCTCCCTGCCTCTCAACTGCTCTAACTTTGCAAGTCCGGGAGTCATCAAAAACGAGGTGCATTAAAAGTGACATTGACAAGGTCCAAGGGTCGAGGAGGGTCGTTACCTGAAGGCTATATAGGAGGCGCGTTAAATTCTGTATCGCCTGTATGATCTGCAAAACAAGACCGTGAGTGTCAAATTCCTGAGAAAGCTTTCACTGCCCACAAAGAGAGAGAGAGAGCAAGGTGACCAACGAACGTCTGTGGAGCTCACCTCTGACTGCGAGGAACCTGGGAAGCTTCTGGGTTCCACCTAAAATACAGAAAAACATCAAGTGAGTGGCCACCCGCACCATCGCGCTCCGACACGCCTGACCTGAGCGGGCTGTGCAGCCACTCCGCACGCTGCTCCATAGCCACGGGGACTGTCCCCTCCGCGAGATGCAAGTCGATGGGATGAAACCACCCCGGGGCAACGACAGCTCCCTTCGCCCGAGCTTGGTGCTTGAGCGATGTGGTCAATTTCAACCCAAACATCCCTTACAGCAGGAATCCCTCAGGACTCCAAGCGATGATATTTACCTGCGCAACGTGCACTGTCCATTGAGCTCTCTGTGTCCCGGCTGAAGCTGTTGCCTGGCCCAGGCTGACCTCTGGCATCCAAGGTGGCACATGGGGGCACTCAAGGACCCCACACACCCTCGGCCTCAAACTCCCCATCTCACTGTTGCAGCTTCATGATGTCAGAAAGACCAGTGGCTTGGAAACAACAGTGGATGCATCTGCCAGATCCCAGATCCTACTCAGCAGAAGCCACACATGAGGCCAGAGGACACCACGTGCTCCCCGAGGACAGCTCCTGTACCTCAGCCCTTGTCTTTTCAACACACACATAAAGGGCTCATCTGAAGATCGGGGCCTTCCAGGTTCCAGACTGAACTGGACGTCTACTTATTTAGTTCTTAACGTTCCTTCACTAGGATGTACATCAATGGCAACCAGGACTTTATGTGGCATGTTGTATTTGCAAACCCAAGGGTGATGCCTGGCCTGTGCAGGTACCTAACAGGTGAATGACTATGCATTGAATGTGATTGCTCGATAACTAAGCAATGAACAGCCACCAAATTCCACACCACCTGCTACAAGAGATCATCCAGTTTCCTGCCCTCCAAGAACATAGAGTCTAAACATGCACCTTGCTTTTGTTTGAGTAAACCTCAAAAAAGTTTGGGTAAAGTTACCCAAAGTTCTTCGGTAACTTTGAACTTGTGGGCCGAAAAATCAGAAACAGGCTGATGATGCCTTGGGTGAGCTTGACCGGTCTCTTCCCTCACGCTGTCCATTAAAAATGTCATCACTAAGAGGCCCCTGAGAGAGAAAGTGAATGTCTGAAAGGATAGACGGCGAGGAGAGGGATCCGTCCTTTGCTCACCGGCACCCAGAAGCCCAGCTCTGGCCGGAGTTGGGGGTTCTTGCTACTTTGTCCATGCCTAGCCACCTTCCAAGACTTTCTAAAACCAAAGATCATATGTTACAGAGTTCTTGAGCTCTGTAAGAATTGGAAGCACATCAATTCATAGAATTGTGCTCCATGTGGTTGTTTGTACCCCAGGAATCGGTACCTTTGGTAAACTGCCTTGCTACCTTTTTCATGGAGTTGGTCTGCCACCTAGTGGTACCCATGTATAACTGCACTGGTGAGTCACAGCATTTTCTGTTAACGGGGTTAGAGTTCATTTGTTAAGATTTTTTTTTTTTTTTGGCAGAAATTTGTTTCATCCCTACCTTAGCATAGAAATTCATCCTAAAATGACATATCTATTAAATATTGTTTAAGATTTTATTTCACATGATCCCCCTCTTCACGTCGGTTTGGTTCACCGAAACGTTTTAAGGGCAACATCTCCCCGGGGCGTTGCACCCCCACAGGAATCTGGACACGGATGCTCAGCTGGACAGGCAAGGGAGGAGTGGGGGCGGGGCCGCTGCAGCTCCCGAGGCTCAACCAGGCCGGCCACCCTTACTCCTTCCTGCTTAATTTTCTAACATGATCAAAGCAGCTGCGAGCTCCCAACTTCAAAGCTGCAGGGGCAGCACGCCCTGAGACACGTTAAGAAGCAACAAGTTGGAAAGCTCAGACACAGGGACGGGCATAAAGGTACTGCACGCCTCTCTTCATTTCAGCCTGCACAAAACACTGAATCGCAACTGGTGTGTGTGTGTGTGTGTGTGTGTGTGTGTGTGTGTGTGTGTGTGTGTAACTTTTCTTTCGAAACCTTGGGCTTGATTTTTCAGTCATATGCAGTTTATAGGAAGCCTATAGAATACATAAGCTGTGACAGGCGAGAGGAGACCTGCCATGTGTCATTTCTCACACTGACAGGCTGGTGCTTGGGCCATCCCTAACTCAATTTCAGACAAAGCTGAAGCCTCGGGCCCCGGATGATCCCGAGGCCGACTGGCTGCCTCCCAGCACGCCTGACCCCCTTCCCTCTGTCTGACATCTGTGCATCTGGTGAAGTTAACAGGCCATTTTCTGCACTTCACTTTTAAGGAGGGGGGGGAGGTTACAGGAGGCTTTGTCCCAGGGCACTTTGGAACGTTTATGGGAAATGGAATGAACAAAAAAGTTCAGATGGAAAGAAAGAAAGAAAGAAAAAGAAAGAAAGAAAGAAAGAAAGAAAGAAAGAAAGAAAGAAAGAAAGAAAGAAAGAAAGAAAGAAAGAGAAAGAAAAGAAAGAAAAGAAAGAAAGAAAGAAAGGAAGGAAGGAAGGAAGGAAGGAAGGAAGAAAGAAAGAAAGAAAGAAAGAAAGAAAGAAAGAAAGAAAGAAAGAAAGAAAGAAAGAAAGAAAGAAAAGGAAAAAGAAAGAGTTTGCAATCCTTTGAAATCCAGGCATACAGCTGTTTCTCACAGCACATATTTTCCATAAACTGCTTCAAGAGCCCTCATGGGCAGTAAGCCAAAAAAGACAAGATGCATTTGGAACCACTGTGCCCCAAGGAGAGATGGGTCAGATTAGACCAAAGACACAACGCAGAGGATGTGTGCTGGCATTGGAAAACACTTTGAGAGAAGTTCAAGGGAGGTGCCAGCAGCAAGAAGGCCCCAAAGCACAGCTTCAGTGACATCCCTGCCATCCGATGCCCAGGGCTCTCAGCACCCTGTCCCGTCGCTTGGCAGAGCTGCCCTGCCTCAGCGAAGGAAAAGCGAAAGTTTGCAGTAGGATAAAGGGAGTGACTTTTCAGTTACTTTTTCTGCACAGGCAGAACTCGCACACTTGAAAAGGGGAGGTGAATCAGAAAGCGAAGAGAGGCCAGTATTGAAATTGACAACAGCGCTGCATCCGCAGCCGGCTCAGGACACAGAGCTGGGTACCCACACATCAGTTGATCATACCTTCTCTCCAGCGTCAGGGCCCACCTGGCCGGTTCCCACACCTTGGCTCCCGCCATCCTCAGCCCAACAGCCTCTTTCTTCTGTCCCCTCGGGGGCTACTGCTGCAAGCACAGCGTCGAGACAGAAATTTTAAAAAGGACATCAAAACAGCAGTCAGCCCCACACTATGAATGAGCATGCCCACCCAGCTGCCCTCTGTCCAGATCCAGCACGGAGTCCCACTGCCCACACGGGGCTTACAGACCACTGGATCAAATACACACCCCAAACCCCAATCAACAATGACCCACTCTCCCCCTCCCCCCTGCCCCGGGTCTCTTGTTGTTTGTGGAGACCAGATGGGTACAGGTGATGCTGGGGACACAGTGAATCCTGTGGAGGGCACACAGGCATCCGAACATGAAATCATGGCTCTCAGTGACACACACCTGTCTCGGGGCCCCCACATGGCCAGTGTGAGAACTGCAGGAGCAAGGAGTCCAGAGGCAGGGGGCTGCCTGTCACAGGTGCTTCCTGTCCCACGTTCACGTGGACCGAGCACCTGGCCTGGTCCCTCACGCTTCCCAACTCTTTTCCTTCTCACATTTCTTGCGCACGTTCCAAATCCGCCAACACTGTAAATGCTGGCTATTTAACTGACAACATCCCACACACCAGTCTAGGGGACCGTATGACGTATCAGACGTGCCTTCCTCCCTCCGACCGCCACGGCAGCAGCGTGCTTCTTGCTCTTCCCTTGGGAGCCCAGTGCCATGCTGCCCACCTCGCCTGTCTGCAAACAGGCCATTTCGAGCTCCTTCACACTCCCGCAGCATGTAGCCAGTGGCACCTTGCTGAGCTGCACAGGGACCCAGCTGCACTGTTCGCAGAGGTCTTTATTTGGTGTCACCTTGAAACTTCATTCCTAATGAAGGCAATGTCTAAGTCTCCATTTCAATAAATACACCCTTATCTTTGGCAAACGGCGGTCCTCCAGGACTCCCCCGGCCTCTTCAAATACTAGCAGCTGGGCAACACATCCTTAGAGTAAAAGGATGCTCCAAACTGGCTCCCTGCTGCTATTACCTCTCACCCTTGAGAGAGGAGCCAGAGCCTGCCCACAGAACCGGCTCCCTCTCCTTTCCCCTAAGGACTCAGGACAACGCAGGCACCGGCTGAGGAAAGATGCTGGGACAGCCCAAGGGGGCAGGAGAATGAACGGCCCAGGGACCAGGCACCCTGTCCCCACTGCCAATCTCAGGAGGACAATCTCCCGCAGATAGGTGCATGAAATGCAAAATGCTCCTGTACCTGACAAGGCTTCCTGGAGACTGGAAGGTTCTGCTGGGCTTGGCATCTCAGAGGGACATGACAGCCTGACTCAGAACGAACCGCTTCAGTTTAGCTCCCTCAGCAAACTCAGGGTACCAGCTTCCCGTCCAGCCTTTGGGGGACAGGAGCCCCTTCACCTGCCCTGGACCCTCTCTCCCTGAACCATGACACCCAGCCTCAGGAAGGGGCCTCCAGCAGATGTCACGGTGTCTTTAACAACTCTTGCTAGTCACGGAAGATGTGGCCCAGGAGGGAGCGAGGACCAGGCCCGAGCTGGAAGCAGCTGCAGGGCCCAGGGAGCACCCCAGCTATCTCTAGGGTCGGGGGGGATGCTCAAGGCGGCAGAGCACAGACTGTATTTTTCGAGAGAACTTCCTTCATAGCATAATGAGGCTCTGCTCTTAAAAGGAAGTCACCCAGGGCGATACAACTCCCCCCGGTGGATGTGGGCTGTGTTCAAAATGAAAAACATATGTGCACATTCTGAAAATAGCAACTCGGGATGAGATAAAGCTGATCTTGAACAGGGTAAATAATAGTTGGGGTTGGGTTAAAAATATATATATATAGAATTAAAAAGCTGTGCTGCAACATATCTTAATTAGCCCAGTTAGGCTGCGAAAGTAAATCCCGAGCGAATGGAATTCTCTAATCCCTAGCTGCTAAAGAGACTTTATCTTCTGCACAGAGAGCCTGTGGCGGTGAGGCTGAGCCGCCCACACATGAGGACAAACGCACTGATTATGCTCTGTCTCAGGAACTTCATGGAACTAAGCAGCGACCTGAGTGGTCACGCAACAACAAAGGTGATGTTCGGAGCAGCCAATACCCCTCCTTCCGCTTTCCTGCACTTAAAATCGGTTGAAATGACGCTTCAGTAAATGAATTCCGAACTGACCTAAGGAGCATGATGATGCAGATTAAGAAGCTTTTGCCATGTCTCTCTCTCTCTCTCTCTCTCTCTCTCTCTCTCTCTTTCTCACTGTATGTGTGTGTGCATGACAGAGAGAGAGCCAATGATGTGTTTCCAGGCTCCCGAGTCATGCTTTGTTGGTCAGTGGACATGAAATTAAATTTCAGCTTGTGCATGAATGGACTACAAGGAGCTTTTTTTAAAAAAAAAAAAAATTCTCTCACAATTGTATTCATTAAGTCACATCAAAAGCAAGGCGGGGTAAGCTTTGAGAAAAGGTCCACGCGTGGCTTGAGAACAGTGCAGTAAAACCCACCATCCAGTCTTGCATCTGGGACACCACTGTCCTGATGTGACCTGCAGGAGGCTTGTATGTGACTAGCATGGTGAGTGTCTGTTTTCTGATTTGAAAAAAACATGTACTCCCCCCGCCGCCCACTCCCTGCCAGGAGGCCCAGAGATGTGGTTTTCTTTTGCAGGCCTTGCGTTCAGGGCATTTGCCCGGCATGCAGCATCACTTACGGACAGCAGGTGAGCCCAGCGCGTCACAGGAGCTCAGGGTGTCCACGCAGACCCCCTCTCCGCAGCCTTCTTCCCAGGACTGTCCGGCGTCTCCCCCCTGCGAGGCCTTCACCGCCACCTGCAGGCTTTCAGCTGAGGAAAAAACAAAGTCATGTGTAAATCCACACCCAAGGGTTGGCAAACAGCATTTGGGGTGCGCCTTTATACGGGGGTCCAAGAGCTAAAAATCTGTTTTCACAAATTAAGCACACACAAAAATACACGCTGCCTCCAAAATCCCCTGCTGCACACACACATAATTTATTCTCTGGCTCTTTATAAAACAGTGTGTAGGTCTGCAAGTTAAACCAATACTTTTAACATTCTTTCATGGCAGGCCACCAACTTGATAAAATACCTCCAGAATGGAAACTCATCGCATAAAAACATCTCTAATACAACTTTCAGTCATTAACACGCTGCAAAAAAACTTCCTGTAATTGTTTAAATACAAAAAATAGGATTAGAGTTTGGAAACCTATTACTTGGAAATAGGTGCTTCAAATATATTCTTTGAAAGAATGTTTCTCCAAATTTCCTTTAAACATCAACCTTCGATCTTTACTCTAGATGTACTGATTCTCCAGAGGAGAAAATAGATTCTGCTTTTTCCACAAGCAGCAGGGGCTACTCTTCAATCCCCTGCTTAGGTTATCTTAGCAAATACCACACCATGGACCCCACTTGCGACAGCCCCATACCCTCTCCAGTCCCTGCCTTCCTTGACTATCAAATAGACATGGTGCGTCCCAAGATTTCTGAATTCTCTCCCACAGCTGAGACTCTAAACCCTTCGTGCTCACTGTCCCCTACAGACCAGGACCTTCACATATCACTTAAGCTCCTTTCTCCCTTAATATTCCTGCCACAGACTGTGCCACTGGCTTACCCTCCTTGTCACCATTCACCTCCGGACAACGCCTCCCACCTACTGCCGTTTGCATTCCTTGAACAACCCAGCACCTGGTGGACGTTCTCCTACTCCTTCTAAAGCAAAAATCTATTCAACACACTACATCATTGAAATTCTATGAGCTTAGCCCTTGCATTATGCTGGCTTTTCACCTCCTTGACTTTGTCATCACCACTGATCTTACCTTACCTCCCACTGTCACGCCCTAGACTTCACCATCTATGCTTTGTCCCCTAGGAGTGTAGTACCCACGTAGCACTTAAAGAGTTCCTTCTAAAACACAAACCAAGCCATCCCTCCACTCAAGACTCTGTCATCCTGGATGAAACTCAAAGTCCTTACCTCACTCTATGTCATCTAATCAACCTTGGTGTCTCCTGACACCTGTGGTGACCCTCCAACCTTCATTTCACAGTAGCTGCCTTGGCCTTCCTACTATTCTTTAAGCACACCTGCACATCCATGCCTGGGGGCTTGGCACCGGCTTCTCTCAATGCTGGATGGCTCTTCCTTCAGCTAACACTTATCTTTCCAACTTCATTCATATCTGCTTGTGTGTCAATGTGTCAAGAAGGCCTTCTTTGGTCATCCTACCTGACACAGAACCACTTCAGCTCCATCGCTCTCCCACTGCTTTGCTCAAGGTTCCCCCCCCCCCAAAGCACCTGATATTCCCTGACATGTTTGCTTCTTTATAGCTTGCTGTTTCTAGAATACACATTTGAGGAAGGTCAAGATTTCGTTCAAGATCGGTCCTGCTATAGTCTCCGCACCGAGACCACAGTGTGTGTCGTGCAGCAGTTCTAAGAATCTCCTGAATCTGCCGAGTTTTTTTCAGAGCAACTCACCTTCTTTCAGTGCTGCGGCCAGTAGCGATGCAGCCTGCGGAGGCTCCCCGGGGTCAGGTTTAATGAGGAGGTGGGGTTCCAGATGGACATCCTCAAATCCACTCAGTTCCCCAAGTTCGGCATAGATATGCAACTTCTCTTCCAAGTACGTGCAAATTTGTTGGTCTTGGTTACTGAGTATTTCTGTGAAATAGTATTCACCATGGACAATGATCATTAATACAAATACGACAATTAATATGACATCCAAGTCACACAGCAAAGATGCTGCTATGTAGACATTCCAACCTACATTCTTTTTTTTTTTTTAATGGGAAGCACAAATCAATGTCTGGGATAAAGCCAGGATCCAGTTCTTACTCTTCCACCCACTCAGCTAACACTGTCTTTTCTGTACTTAAGGAACTCGCACAATGCTCATTTCCTTTCCTATCCTATTCCAGAAAGACCCGCAGAGCTATTCTTTGTTTACTCAGGCTGTTTTGTATTAAGACTAAACATTAAGTGCAGGCATGAAAATTGAGGAGGCCCAGTCCGTGGTGATTGAAGCCCCACAAGGAAAACAATGCAAAGGCAAAAACCACTAGGGCCTCAGCAATTCTTGGTCAAAACCAACACATTTTTCTCTCTAAACAGCCAATTCCTTTGACCATCGTGGAGTGCTTCATTTTCCTGTGATTTCAACACATTACAGAATCCTTACAGCTCAAAGGGCCCTTCCCTGGCATGGAATGCAGGGTTTTCATTTGTCTCTGAGCCTCAGAATCACCTGGGGAGAGCTGGACGTGCCTCTTACAGTTGGAGTCCATTGGGTCCCAGGAATCAGCAGTGCTGAAGATCTCCCCAAGGAGGTCCCATGGCAAGCCATGGTTGGAGACTCCTCAAGTCCATCTAATTCCCTTCACGCATTTGCAAATGAAAGGTTGGACCTTCTCAGGGCCTGGGCCAGAGTCACACCTCTGTGGCATGAGAGTACGGGGACCTGAAGTTAAACCAATGATCATCTGCAGTACTCCACCCATATCATGTCATAAATGTGTGTGTACATGCATGTGCACACACGTGTATGCGCATGGGGGTCATCCTATTTGAGCATTTCTAGTGGCCAAGGCACACAGACTAAATCAACAGTCCCCTACTTGTATCCACGATACCTGAGCTTTCCCAACATTCAAAAAAAGTACTCCAGTCGGGGGGCTGGAAGTGCAGGCACCAACCTTGACATTGCTGAATTCTGGCCACTCTGGCCTCGGCTTTCCGCCTCTCTTCATCAGATTCACTCGTCCTTCCTCCATCTTCCTCTGGGCAACTTTAAGAGACAATAGCCAAGAGAGACCATTGGAACCAAATCCAAGAATGCGAAGGTTCATTAGGAGAACATGGGGACTTGGCAAGAGGGTTCTTCATGAAGGAGAAAAATTTAGCACTGAGAACACATCACACACACACACGGCATGAAAATTGTGTTTCCTTGAGTATACTAAAGGACCTTATATGATACAACATAGTTCGCAGTCAGTAACAAATACTCCAACACACACATCTCCAATTTAGAGTATATCCATTGATACAATCAATTTTTACATTTGGTAACATTTGAGCACTGCTAATCTTAACATAGATAGAAGGGTTGAGGAGCTACAGGTAAAGCGCCAACCTGAGACAATGGACAGTGAAAGTGAAAGAATCTTAGATAATATCTGAATCTGATTGATCAAATCATTGTTATGATTGACTAGCCTACCCTTAAGCCCCATATTTACGAAAACCATCTTTGCCCAGAGAGGAATAAATTGCCACAGAACACTTCATCTGCCAAGGGAAAAACATTTATTGAACGATTCCTCAGTACCAGACACACAGAGAAAGATAAGACAAGGTCCCTGCCCACAGGGGGCTTCCAGTCTAACTGAACAAACATATACACAGATAACAGTCAGCAAGCAGTAAATAAAAAGCATTGATGAAATGTTTCAAGGAGTTCGGGTAAGGAGGAGGCCTTCACGAAAGGTGCGAGACATGAGCTACACCAAAGCCCAGCAGGACACACACAGGCAGAAGGCAGGAGAGGGCACTACATGCAGGGGGGCCCAGAGCACAAGGCCGCAGGTGGGGGGCTATGGCAGGCAGGTGAAGGGGCAGCAGGCAGATCATCCCAGCTGAAGCAATGTTTTCATGCAGTGGAGACACAGTTAGAATAGTGTTCCAAACAGAATGAGTCCACTCCCAAGACTATGGACAGAAAGAGAATTTACCTTTCGACTGCCTGCTGGATCCGCCTCATCCAGTTATTCCGTTCCTCCTTGGAGGTGGTGTGGATTTCATACATCTCAGGACCAGCGGAAGAGGCACTGATCAGAAACATGCCCCTCTCCTCATTAGCAACTTCTCTGGCAATGAGCTTCTGCAGGGAAATGACGGATGGCTTCTGATCCTGTGCAAAGACAGGAGGATGTGCGGATAAGCCAGCATCCGGGCCAGAGGAAGGGTGGCAAGAAAGACCTTAGCTATGAAACGCAACAGTGCCAGTTCAACTTTATTTTACTTCTGACCTTTCCAAAAAGAGTTTCAAGATGGGTACAATCTGCAGTTGAAAGGGTGTGGAAACAGGAGGACGGAAAAGGCGGGTCTGAGTGAATGTTTATCCTGGAAAATTAGTGTTTCAAAAAGACAGTTTTTAAAAAGAGAGTAATCAGGTGAGAGAAAAAAAAATCAAAATGCTGTGGTGTGGTGAAGAAAGGAGGCAGTTCTCCAGGAGTGCAGAAAGACTGAGGAGGATGGGAACCTGAAAAGTCCATTGGACTTGGCAGTTATGAGCAAAGTGATGGAAACAGAACGCTGGGGCTCAGAAGGGTGGGATGTAAAACTAAAAGGCAACAGTGAGGAGATGAAGCCTTCTACTTTCCAGGCACAACTAGCCCCGTCTGCTGCTGCCTGGCAGATCACAGCTACAGAACCTCCACACTTGCACCTGCGGTGCCTCTGCACGTCCCTGACCGGCAGAACTCCAGTAGGTAGCCATGGGTCTATGTCATCTTCATGAGCCTACCTCATTGCCTTGCACAGAGCTGGCACTCAACCAATGTCTGCAGCACTAGATTTTCAACTTGATGCCACCAAATGGGACCAGAACAAAGTCTACACTGCAGAACCCAAGCTGTGATGAAATCAACTTTTCTACCAACACGGACTGTGTGTGATCCTCCAACGCCTGGTTCTAAGCACTGCGGATCCTCTAAGGAAAATGCCGATTTGGAGAAGTAGCTGCCAGTTTAAAGAATTTCCAAAAGAATGTCTGTGTGATGATCAGCTCTGGGGTAAATATAAAGAACCATCTCTGGTTTGTGGCTTCTACCACTGTTTACACAGTTGGCCAACAGGCCGGGTTTGGTTTCTCCCTCGTGGGCTGAGCGACGCCTCTACCCAGACCCTGGCATTCTGTCCCCCTACTGCCGCCCCATCACCACACAGCTTTGATATAGCTGAAGTCATGCGCCAGAGTATGCCCAGAGTGCTCCAGCTGGGAATGAGACCTGCCTTTCTTGGGCTAGCCAGAAAAAATATATACCATGATGAGACAGCCTAGTGGTTTGCCCAGCCCTGTGATCTGCCTCTGAAGGGGGAAGCCAAAGCTGTTTTGTGAAAGTCTGTTTTGAATGCTGCCCTGTCTAACTAGGGAGGTCCTCTTGGTATAGTTTTTATCCCTTATTCTATCATATGTCTATCTCAAAGACTCAATCTTCGCATTTCAGTCTGCAGTTCTAGCATCTTTCCCAAACAAGACAAATGCCCTCTATGTATAAACAAGAATATACCCAGGAATCACTTAGGACATGAGCAAGCGTGAACTTATGTGAGTCAGCTGTGTTGTGAAAAGATGGTAGGATAATAACTTTTGAAAGGAAAGGACAGAGGGCCGGCATCGCGGATGTTGGAGCAGTGAGTTGAGCTGCCACCTGCAACACTACCACCCACAAGGGCACAAGCTGCAGATGCGTACTCAAACTCAGCTCTCAACTAGCGAATCTTGGAAGGCAGCTGAAGACGGCTCACATACTTGGGCCCCTGCCACCCACATGGGAGACCTGGGAAGAATTCCAAGTTCCTGGAAGATCTTTCTTCTCTGTTATTCTGTCTTCTAAACGAATAAACCTTAAAGAGAGATAGGGGAACCTGGCACGGTAGCCTAGTGGCTAAAGTCCTCGCCTTGAATGCACTGGGATTCCATATGGGTGCCGGTTCTATTCCCGGCAGCTCCACTTCCCATCCAGCTCCCTGCTTGTGGTCTGGGAAAGCAGATGAGGATGGCCCACATACTTGAGACCCTGCACCCGTGTGGGAGATTCAGAAGAAACTCCTGGCTTCTGGTTTTAGATACAGCACAGCTCTGGATGCTGCAGCCACTTGGGGAGTGAATCAGTGGATGGAAGATCTTCCTCTCTGTCTCCCTTCCTCTCTGTATATCTGACTTTCCAATAAAACTAAAATAAATCTTTAAAAGAGAGAGAGAAAAGGGTGGGATGTATTAAGGGGTAGAGAGTGCCATTAAATAAGCCACTATCAGACCAGGGAGTATCTGGCCGTGTCCATCAGTAGTCATATAAATCACACACAGACAGGAGCCGCACAGGAACGGGGCCCTTGACAAGTGTTTCATGAGGAATTTAAGGCTTTTTTTCACTTATTACACTACCATCTCTTGACCATATACTTACAACAGCTGCAAAGATGTATTTCTGGTCTTTTTCTTGTAGAAAGAGCAGCACATCGGTTAGAAGGAGAGCTAGGATATCTTAAAAAAAAAAAAAAAGCACATTACAGATATTGACACCGAATGGTTCAAATGCTTCTAATAATTTTTTTTAAGTTCATGCTTAAGATTTAAGTAAATTCAATAAAAAGACTAACATTTGGACTAATCATAAAATATACAATCTACAGATAAGTTAGCAGAAGGCTGTGTTTAAGTTGGCATGCTCTACATCTCCAGCAAAATTTAGTGCTGTGGTTTTCAAAGAAGAGAAACATCCAATAAAGAAGCAGGGTTTAACAAAAGAGGGCAAACACCTACATTTAGGGGAGAAAGCTAATTAAAGCTAACTAAATGTAAGAGGGCATCCCATGCCTTTAATTGCATGAAGTATTTCAAAAAGGTCTTAGGAAAAAAAGTTCTTTTTTCTAGTTCTTTCATAGTCTGCATCCTCCGTGAATTTTCTGCAGATTTTCTGCAGATCACCAAGGTCACAGTGAGTGTCAAGATTGCCCACCTCCTTACAGATGGGTCCCAAGAACCCAGGTTCACTGTAACCACGAAGTCCCTGACAACTGATTCCAAACGAATAATGAGTGAGTGACTCGCAGCAAGAGGAGTGTCAAATTGCGAATAGAATTTTTGCATCACAACATTGCAAACTGTTGATCCACAAACCCCATTTCCAACATCAGTTGCCACTCCCATAAAAGCCTGACCGTCCTCCTCGGAGTGACTGACCGCAACCTTGAGTGACTGACCACAACCTTTTCCTTTCATGCTCTGCTGGGCAACTGCTTAGGGTGAAGTGTTAGAGAAAGCAGACCATCCCAGGGGTTCTTAGCCTTGGTCAAACCTGTATTCCCTTGAGCTTGCAATGCAGCTCCCAACGAGGCAAAACCAGAATCCCTGAGAGGAGATCTGAACATTCACGTTCTAGAGAGGATTACGTGCGGCCCAGGTGAGACCACCTAGGTCAGTTAAGATAAGTAAGACACTGAGGGTCGCAATACGTGAACCAATGTTGTGGCATGGCAGGTAAAGCTCCTGCTTGCAGCTCTGGGATTCCATATGGTTACTGGTTTGTATCCTAGCTGCTACACTTCCGATTCAGGTCCTTGCTAGAGGCCTGTGAAAACAGCAGATGATGGTCCAAGTGTTTGGGCTAAACTCCCTGATTCCCTTGACTGTGGCCTGGTCCAGTCCTGGCCACTGCAACCATCTAGAGAATGAATCAGAGGATCAAAGTCAAGCTCTGCAGCTCTGATCAGCAAACAAATAAAGAGACTTTTAAAGAGTTATTTATTTGAAAGGCAAATTTACAGAAAGCAAAAGAAAGTTTCTTCCACCTGCTGGTTCACTCCCTACATGGTCATAACAGCTGGAGCTTAGACAATCCGAAGCTAGGAGCCAGGAGCCTCTTTCAGGTTTGCGTACATTTGAGTACAGGGTTACAAGGACTTAAGCCATCCTCCACTGTTTTCCCAGATCATAAATAGAGAGCTGTATTGGAAGTAGAGCAGCCAGAACATAAACTGGCACCCATACGCGATGCTGGTGCCACAGGGGGAATTAGCTTGTTAAGCCACGACGTTGGCCCTCAATAAAGATTTTTTTTAAAAGAGTCAGAGTGATCCTAGCACAGTAGCCTAGTAGCTAAGGTCCTAGCCTTGAACACGCCAGGATCCCAAAAGGATGCTAGTTCTAATCCCAGTGGACCCGCTACCCATCCAAAGTTCTCCTTGTGGCCTGAGAAAGCTGTCAAGCATGACCCAAAGCTTTAGGACGCTGCACCCACATGGGAAACCCAGAAGAAGATCCTGGCTCCTGGTCTGGGATCGGCTCAACTCCAGCTGTTGCGGCCACTTGGAGAGTGAATCAGTGGACACAAGATCTTCCTCTCTGTCTCTCCTCCTTCTCTGTATATTTGACTTTCCAATAAAAATAAGTAAATCCTAAAAAAAAAAAGTCAGAGGACAGAGCTTTGGATCCCAGCCAGATTACCAGACTGGGGCTAACGCTAGCCACCAAGAGCAGCGCTGAGTGGTTCCCACCAGCACCAACGCGTGGATGTCTTAGGGAACAAAAATGAGACCACCGCCTTGCTCCCAGCACACCCCATCTGCCAGCCTAACTCCACACATCGGCAGCGGCTGTGAGCTCAGACACTGCAACGGGCATAAAACATAAAACACATCTGAAGGTTTTAGATTCGGGCTAAAGACTTGTATGATTCGGGTTCATACTGCAGTTGAAGCGCACAGCTGGATCTTTCAAGGGACTCGGGGCTCACGCGCATGTGCCTGAGGCCTGGGCTCTGCAGAAGGCGTCCTGGGGGGCGGGGGGCAGGGGGCAGGAGAAGGAAGCCAGTGCGGGAAGGCCTCGTACCTTTGAAACGGCCGGTGGCGGTTTTCCAGTAGACGACGCCATCGTGTAACAGAGTCCTCTCCTTGCTTAGCAGCGCCTGCTTCCGGAACACGTGGCCGCTCTTGAGCTTCGTGCATGTTTTGTTTTCAATCTTACTGAGGATCTCCAGCCACTTTTGGTTTTTCTCATACTCGTTGACTTTGAGGTCCACGGCTGCAATCATGTCTTTAATCAAGGCCAGAGCTTTGCATAAGTCTTCATGTTCTTCTGTTCTGTCTGTTTGGGAAGAGAACCGGTAAAGGATTTGATTATAACCTGCTTGCTTTATGACATACGTCCCTGGCTGACAATCAGATGTGGCAGTTCCGGGGACAGGTCTCACCCACTGCCATGGCAGCAAATGTGTTCTATACCAATTCAGGCTTCCCTTGCCCATCTCGGACCCAGGGAATCACGTGGTCCTCACACCACGCTTCTGAGGACTTCATCCAGCCTGCAGGCCAAGCCAACGTCCTCCAGAAAGGGGCCCTGCAGTGACCTGAATGGGTCTTGAGCTCATGTGCAAGATTATGTCTTAGAATTGCATATACCTAAATATGAACATGACAATGTCATAATTAAACATTCTATCTGATCTCAAGTATTTTCTTCTGATTGTAAGACATTCGAATTTTTTCAGGGGACTGAGGTCTCGTACCTAATTGGTAATTCAGACAGCTCATACCAACAGAGCAAAAAACCATTGACCCTGGCTGTTGCTCTTTAAAACCCTGGCACCTGCTCTTATTTCTAGAATACCTCTAGACACATCTAGAAGGGTTTCTGGAACAGAAACTTCAGGCGAAAGTAAGCTTAGTGATTTTCTGCATTGGATGATAAAGACTTCCTGGTTGAGATTTACTGAAGCAGCTGGAACATAAAGAAAAGGTTTTAGGAGCTCAGAAGGTTCTGGAAGGAGAGGAAAGGAAGAAAAACTGGCAGAAAAGTCAAAGTTTCTCAAGAGCCCAGGGCTACAGAAACTAACACTTGGAAATGGCAATAGAGCCTGACAATGAATCCTCCAACGGCTCTACCACTGCCAGGAGCTGCCGTGGTACACCTGGGAAGCCTGAAAACAGGTCCTGGCACCCATCTTTGCTACCCAAGAGAAAACCCCACTATGTTACTGCACCTGACTTTGCTAAGTCCCTCCAGAGAAGGTTCTTTTTTTTCCTGAAGAGCATAACTCATAAACAGAAAAGCTAAGAAGAGAAAAATCAAGAGTTCAGCTACAACATGATGGGTAAACTCAGAAAAGGCTCCAAGTCCTTTGACCTTTGGGGACAAATGACCACCCTGATACCCTGTACCTCTGTAGGCACAGCAGCATTGACCTCACCCAAGGGTCAGGATGCAAATGTTTACTTTCCATCCCAGACTCAGAATCTAAAGGAATGGGATGAACAACGCAGTCACAGTCATAGCAGCCAGTGTCCCAAGCAGCCCAGCAAGTGCCTGACCACTGGAGGCACGCCCTCAGCCTCCATGTCACCTGCACACCGAGGAGCTGTGGTCATCAGCATTTCAGATTCACAGTCAGCAGCCCGTGTGACTGTTCCCCATGAATGTGGCACAGGCTACTACTGGAGTAGTGCCCGCTGACTAACACAATTTGACAGATTTTAATGCTTGATGAACTGCAGTAAGCTTAGGAAAGAGAATGTAAACATAATTCACATTGAAAAGGCTTAACTGTATTTCAGTTCTCTTGCTGACAACAACATTTACATTTTTCTCAATATGTTTATATTCCCTTGTAAGGGCAGAAGAGGGGACAGATCTGGTGGCAAACCAGGTTAAGCCACCGCTTGCTTTGCCAGCACCCTGTAAGAGTGCCAGTTGGAGTCCCTCCTGTTTCTGATCCAGCTCCCTGTTAGCATGCCTGGAAAGGGAGCAGAGAATGGCCCAAATGCCCCTGCCACCCAAACAGTACAGATGGATAGAGTTCCAGGCTGCTGTGGCTCCCGGCCTGCCTTGGCTACCATTTGCAAAGTGGATTCGCAGATGGAAGACCTCTCTCATTCTCTGGACGTGTCATTCAGCCTTTTAAAAGGATTAATAAATCCTTTCCATAAAAATGAGATATAAGGAATAGACATATTCCTATCACTATACATATCTGAACTTAGTTCTGAATGTGACAAAAGACAGGGAAGGAATAAAGTGTGGGTGTGTCTACTCACCTATACCCATTCCAAGAAAACAGGAAAAAATGGGTACTTAGGAGCTCATTATTGAAGGGTGACTATAAAGGTACCAAAAAGAGCTCCCACCTAGGGGCAGCGTGTCAGGGAAAGGCCCTGTGCTGGGCAGTCTCTGAGATAATCTCATCCTCACAAGGTTTTCATAACATTAGGACTTCCTTGCAGGAGAGAAGACAAAGGCGTAGTTGACTAACCCACTGAATGAGCAGGTGGCAGAGGCAGGTGCGATGCCCACGCAACTTGACGCAATTCCAAACCCAAGCCTTTGTCATGAAGTACTTGACCACTCTACTCATCGCTTTTAACAAAGCTCAATAAGCTAGCTGGAGGCATTTTTTATTTATTCACCTACTGCACCATGCAGGATTTATTTTTTACAGTCTCTTGTATTAACCAATGCACTAGACACTGAAACCCAACTATGGGTCAGACAAACATGAGCCTTCCATGTGTGATGAGGAGTTTCCAGTCTGGCATCAGCTTTAACGGCCTCTGAAAAGATGCTCAGATGTCACTCCCTGGAGCTTAACGAACTGACAAGACCCCTTCAGACAATCATTCTTCATTAAGTCATTGCTCAAGAGAACTGGCACTTGGTGCAAGGATCAGGAACATGATGTTTCACCAAACTGATGGGAAGGTAAGAGAAAGACAAGGGTGGGTATTGGCACCAGTACAATGGCTCAGATCCTTGCACACCCAGCATCCCACATGGGCATCAGTGTGCATCCTGGCTGCTCCATGGGGATGGCCCAAAACCTTGGGACCCTGCACCTACAAGGAAGACACGGAAAAGGCTCTTGGCTCCTGGCTTCAGGTCGACTAAGCTCTGGCCATTGCAGCCACTGGGAAGATCCAATAGAAATCAATCTAAAAAGTGGGGGGATATGCTAAGGATGGCTGGGTATGAGGTAAGGACACAGGTAAAGGCAGAGCTCAAGTATGAAGAAACCTACTGGGCTTGGTGCCACTTGTAGGAATTCAGAGTATTAGCCAAGCTACACCATAAAAGGGAAGTCCTCTTTAGGGTTCCAAGAGTTTTCCCGCAATGAAAACCTTCACGACTCAGAGGCCACGGCATTCACAGCTGTTGATGACACCTCAGCTACAGTTAAAACTACCAACTAATAGAGAGGCAAACGTTTGTCCCAGAAGGCATCACTCACCCTTTGTGTACTGCAATATCCTTTCCACCAAGACTGGGTACTTGGTGATGCGCTGAGTAACCAGCAGAATGCATTCTGGAATCCCTCGGCGTCGCGCCAGGAGATTACTGTTTCGGAGCTGAAAACCACACATCGCATTTTCACATACCCAAGTTCCACCTGCTTTCACTTTTTAGGTGTGAATTTAATCATGCAATAATAACGATAATAATCCTCAACAATACGTCTATTCAGATGTAACATAATATCCATCATTATTCATTAAAACCTGATGTGTTCATCATTAAAGTGTACACCGTATCATTTATTTCAATACTGCAGACCATCAAAGTTTTCAGGAAGTTTCAGGTTACTCTAATGCATTTGTAGTTAATTCCGAAAGTCAGCAAGTTCTAACTCCTAAGTGCCAGGATTCATGTTTAATAAAAAAAAAAAATTTAGAAAAAATATCAGAAGTAAAAGTTGTGTCTTGAACAGGAGTTTGTAGTTGTGTGTGTGTTCCTCCCCTGTGTTGATTATTCATTGTATTTTGTAATACTCAGGTATTTTCTAAGACTCTTGCAGTCTCTCTTAAGTCGTCAACACAGATGAAGGTAGCATCCTTAGGGCAGAAGGTAAAAATTCAGCAGCCAGGACCTGCTGGAGGATCAATGTCTTCAATAAACAAATTAGGAGAACATTAAAACTAAAGGTGAGCTAAGAGATAAAAGCCACCACATACAGCATGTGAATCTTGAGCCGATTCTGCTTTAAGCACTCAAGTATGATGAGATAATGAGTGAAATGTGAAGATATCAAGGAATCACTGCTAATTTTTAAAAGTGTGATAAGGTCTCTGTCATTTCATAGAGACATATCATATATTATGGGTGAAATTTTAGGATGCTGTAGATTTGCTTTAAACTAATTTGGCAGGGATTGGGTAAGAACCTGTGTTTACTTTTGTTTTTTCTCTTCTATAACTTGTCGGAGCCTGAGCAGCTTCCCAGAATACTGCAAAATATTCCCAGAAGCTTGGAGGACATGACCTCACAATTATAAAGCACAAAAGGAACTGATCTGGGAAAATTATTTCACCAACACCGAAAAAAGATACTTTGCCAGAAACCTCCTGTTTCCTTTTCCTTTCCGCACACAGCACACCGGCCCCTGTACATTTACTGGTTTAACCCCTGTAAGGCTGAAGCCAAGAACCGCTTCCCGAGCCACTTTGCAACAACGTTGGCCACTTGGCAACCTTTGAAAATACTTGCCTTAATGAAATTCTGAAACTTTTTGTTCTGCTGGAGCTCTTTGAAGAGGCTAACTGCTTCTTTGTGATGGCTACAGAATTCCCCATATATTGTCTTCATTTTACTTGCATTGTCTTCTGAAAACTGAGAAGAATAACAACATTTCAATAAGTCACAAATTCAGTAAAGTTCTGTTCAGAGAAAAGAACATGAAATTTTCACATATTTCAAAGTGATCTTTGACAATAAAGAATAAACACCACAGATTTTCTGAACACAATGACTTCTCTTTCTTGACACTTTTTAAATTAAGTTACTCGAAGGGTACCAAGTAATATTTTGTTCTTACTTTGGATGTTGACTATGACTCTGGCCAGAGGGCAACTCATTTGTCTGTTCACTTACGTGCATTTATTGGTACATATACTTGTATTTCAGTAAGGTTTCTTAATAAAATAAAGGAAGTTGTTGAGTGGTAATGGGCACTCTAACATGGTCAAATTGTATTGCATTGAGTCGAGGACAGCCCAAGACTTTGGGACCCTGCACCCACGTGGCAGACCCAGAAGAGGCTCCTGGCTTCCGAGTGGCTCAGCTCTGGCTATTGCAGCCGCTTGGGGAGTGAACGAAAGATCTTCTTCTCTGCCTTTCCTCCTCTCTGTATATCTGCCCTTCCAATACAAATTACAATAAATCTTAAAAAACAAACAAACAAATTGTATTGTACTGAATTGATATATGGCCAAACGGAAAGCATTTTGAGTTTGCTATCAATTTTTATTTTTCTATATCATTCCATTTTCTAGTTTTAGTACACTTTTGTAGATTAAAGGAAGAGTATATGATAATATTTGAGAAGCAAATGTTTCCATAAGCCTGAACCAAGCAGAATATTCTTTGTGACTATATTAATATCAGTATCCTGATTATGACATTTTATTAGCAGTTTTGCCAGATGTTACCAATGGCAACAAAGTAAATAAAAACATGAAATATTTTAATATCCCAAACTCCAGGTACTATGAAAACAAAACCACTGGCTGGTGGGGAAAGAGAGTCTTAATTTTTAAAGCATGTGATCCATATGTGCCTCAGGTTATAAAACTATTGTACTGTGGGTTTTTTTTTTTCATTTAATAGCCTCATTTATTAGCAGTATACCACAGTGTGCATATCTGTATGTATGACAGTATTTTAAAAAGTGCATATTAAAATAGGATTTAAAGATAAGCTTATTTTTATGTCAACAAGCATCTGAAATCCATGCATAAGTTTTTTTTATTTTCTATAATATGTTTTTCCCATGAATGTTTGAAGCCCCTTGTACTTTTCTGGACAGGTGTCAACTATGGGATTGCTTTTATGTTTGTTGCTGTTTTTTCATTTTTAGAAAAATTTCTTCACTGTGAAATAACAGTTACTGCTTAATTACAGCACCTCCAAAATTTTAAAGACAAATGTGGAAAGTTATATAACTAAAGGTCAAAACTTCAAATCTTACAAACAGATAACTCCGGGTTTTTTTTTTTTCTGAACAATAATCTTAATAAAGACAACATGAAACACTAGAAATTATGATAAAATACAACCTAGGCTTAATGATAATCAAAAGCCTTCCATGATTTCTTATTAACAATTCAATATTCCAAGAAAGCTCTGTTACAACAGAAAGGACCATATTTTAATTTTGAATCTATGTATTTTTATCTTTTAAAATATTTTTAAATTATTTTATAATTTTTCAGCATCTTGTCACATTCATGTCAAATGTGGACCTTATACATGCACTTTTTTCTTGAATGCAAATACTGGTATCACAAAGCACATATACACCACATTTTCTTTATCCAACCATCAGTTGATGGACACAGGTTGATTCAATATCTTTCCATATTTTTGCTATTGCAAAATTGATTTTTAGGATGTAAGGAGGAGTCTTTACTAGCCAAGCTGGGCGGCAGCAGTTCCCACTACACTCCAGAAACCACCACTGCAGTGAACCAAGCAGTTATAAACCTAGGAGCACATGTAAAACTCAAGCACTGATTTCATTTCTTCTTGATACAGCCCCAGGAGTGAGATAGCTAGGTCATATTAATAGATCTTATTTTAGCTTTCTGAGGAATCGCCACACTGGGTAAGCTACTGTTCTAGACTAAACCACATTCCTCACTTTCACAATTTGTTACCAACATCAAGAATATCCAATGACTAAATTCAAACATACTCCAGCCCAACTTCCTGAAATCTTTATTGGGTCTTTACAGTGTGGGATTCACCCAAACTTCCCTTTCATGCATCCTTAACCAACATGTTTTTCCCTTTGTCCCACACAGAACCGTGCCCACAGCCACTGTCAAAGCATTCTACCAACCAAATTCTCAGGAAACGACAAGATATAGGAGGGATCCCTCGCAACACCCGTGAAACATGGCCAATGACCTGAATACGAAAGAAAACCTAACTTCTCTTCTCTGAATACCAAGGAATAGACTATGCTTCATCCAAGAGACCACTTCTCAAACCGTGTGCTCAGTTCAGGTCCTGGTTTTACCCAGAGAAGCAACCGAGATAGGTAATTGTTGTTAACTGTGAAAGTAACTTAAGATTGGAAACAGTAAAGTCATGGTTGCCTGGATCAAGAAAAGAGACGCACACAACTTCAGATGAAGAGTTGAAAATTTTGTAATTTATATTGAAATGTATTCACTTTGAAGTTTACATAGACATATCTATTCAGCTGTCTTGCAAAGCACCTCACAGTCATTTAACTTGGTACAATACATTTGAGGTGAACTATGAGTTCAGAACGGGAGTAAGACTCCAATTTGCAAGACGGCTAACTCTGTGATTTAAGATGTGAATTTTCACATTGTCGGACACGAAGGAACAATTATTGGGCAATAAATCTTACTTAAGCTTTGCTTTTGTACATTAAGAATATTTGTGTTTAAGTATATTTATGTCAGAGAACTTAAATCCCTGATTTTCAGCCAAAAGCCCAACAGCTGGATTCAAGTACTAACAGGGTGAATCTGCTTAAAACTTGGTATTTTGTTTCTGCCTGGAGAATGCTATACCACGATAACTACAGATAGAGTTCCAGACCTTTCCCCAAGGACTGCAGGGGAAAGGTTTCCTAACAGATTCAGAATACTCGTAGTTGTCATATCTATTCTAGATGTTTAAATGTGTGGTAACAGAATAGGTTTCCCTAACTTCCAGGGATTTACAAAACTACACACTTCTCTACGATGTCATAAGACATCATATTCCTCGTGTTAATGAAAGAGCAGATTTGTATTCAAATCCCACTTTGTCACCTACATGATATGGGCACTTGTGAAAGTCATTACCTTCTCAAGGAATCAGCTTTTTTTTTTTTCCCCAATCTGTATAAGGGGAAAAAAACATCTACCTCTTGAGTTCAAAAGACCCAAAAAGTAACTGCCAAATACATCATGTCACTAAATACATATTATCTAACTTCTCCATTGGTGTTTTTTTTCTGTGAATGCTTCCTCAGAGAGATCCTGGAGCTAATGTTCACTGCCAGAAGCAGGTGCTGGTGTTGCACCAGGAGTATGATGGGGTGCAGCAGGTTGATAGCTAGCACCTGCTTGCCAAGTTAATTAAAAGTGTAGATAGCACAGAAATGCAGGTTCTGTGCCCCCTCCCTTCCTATCCCACCATGCCATTCTATTCAATTGAATATGTAGAAGCTGGATCTAGAGGCTCTGCATGTGCCCCACCCCTCCTGTCTCCGACCTGCCATTCAAGTTCATTGACAGAACAGAAATGGCTCCAGAGGCTCGGCACACCCTGCCACTCCTGCCTCCTAACATGTTACTTAGGTTAATTAACTGCATGGAAACTTTGGGCTCTATCAACTCCCTTCCTGCCTCCTGCCACTTATTTAATTGAATGTTTTGTACTTCATACAGAAACTGTACTGCATGGCTCTCAATCTGATGGAGGATAAGAGCTTAAAAAACCTCTGACTTTGGCTGTGCAGTGCAGCAGCTCCTGGAGTGCAGCTGCTGACACCAAGCTTGGGTAATAAAAACTCTTCCTCACATCCTGTACCTGTGTCCGACATGATCTCTCTCACTCTCTATATCAAAGAGGGTAGCCCAGTTTGTTCCTGCTGATGGCTAAACATTCCAAGCACTTCTAAAATGTGCCTTTTCTTAGACACATTCACTTCTTTTATCCCACAGGCATCAACTCTAGCGCTTTAGTCAATTCACCATTCTCTTCCTAACACAAGCCAGTATTTATCTTGGAGATAGCTCATCAAATCATAAAGACTAGGCAGACATTTCCTTCAGGGATTAATTCATGCTTGAGATCCCTGGTGGAGCTAGAGTAGGGAAAGGTCAAGCCAAGTGTTATGACACTCATAGAAGTCAGTCATCGGTTGCTAAAAGTTCTCATGCATGTATCGTACAAACCCACGTCAATAAACAGAAACCAACCAAACCCATATAGTAACCATCATATTTAAATACATTTCAGTTCTCCCTAGACTTCCAATGCTGAAGATGGTCTGGCAAACCTTTCGGGTTCTTGAGGCCGGGCCTTTAAATCTTACCTGTTGCACCAGAATATCTCCAATTCGGTTGATGACAAAATTCTTATCACTGCCAGTGCAGGACGCTTGCCTTCGCTCCTTCATACTGTAGAAGAAATGCCGATGGATTTCAAGCAACTCATCTAAACAGGGGAAGATCCTGTCCACAGTGCTGTGGTCAAGCTGCAGCTCCTCTTTCATGCCTTTCCTGAAGATCTCAGACATGATGAACAGGGTCTGGATGTGATGCATCTCTGTCTGCATTAGCTCTGAAATGTGGGAGTAGAAACATGTTTTAAACAAGATTTGCAAGACAAGTATCTCTAATAACTCCAACTAGTCATTTAACACTATAATCCGCATGCCAGAAAATAAATGTTTTGAAATAAAATATGCATTCCAATATAAAATTCATCACTGACTAAAAATGACAGTATAAAAATTTTTTAAGATATAGGTAAGTCCAATATATAACCATCTAATGTATCCAAAATTCTCATAATACAACTAGGAAACACCCTCAGCTATCTTCAGCTAACAACTAGATTTTATTCATATTTGATGTAACCTGGTTTGCTGGCTTGCTTTCTTTAGTTTGTGCACCAAGAAGGAACACAATTCATTTGATGAATTTAAGTAAATATAATACAATTTCTCACTGCGGACAATAGTAGTTCACTTTTATTTCCGAATCTACCTCCAAATTTCCACATTCTCCAGAGGAAAAAAAAAATTCACAATCAAGACATAATATCAATACAATGAAAAGGCAGTTTACAGGTTAGTAGAAAATATTTCCAAACCATGTATCTGATAAAAGACTTGTATGTAACAGATGCATCCATTCATCCATCCACCAGTTACCTACCAACAAAATCTTAAAAGCTCTGAACAACTTGACAGTAAAAACCAACCCAATTTTTAATTTCTTTTATATTCCACAGGTGCTAAAAAAAATTACCTCCACAGTTTAATGCAGTCCTTACATGAGCACAATCACATACAAATTTGCCTTTCTGAGTCTGGCCTATTTCATTTAACATGAAATGACCTCCGGCTCCATTCACATTGTTTTGGGGTGACAACATGTCAGCCTATTACGGCTAAGAAGTATTCTGTTGTGTTACAAACAGCATCTTCTTTATCCATTCATCGGTGACAGGCTGTTTGCACTTCCTGACTATTGTGAATGGTGCTCCAATTAGACATGGAAGTGTCAATGTCTCCACAACACATTCATCCCATTTTCCCCTGATGGGACTGCCGGATCATGTGCTAAGCTCAACTTCTAGGTTCTTCAGCAACCACCACACTTTTATCTACTAGGGTTGTACTAACTTACATTCCCACCAGCAGTGCACTAAAGCTCACTTCTCACTGGCCACCTTTTCTAAGTTTTAGATACAGTTGTTTATTTCACAGAGTTACAGAGAGAGGGAGAAACACAGAGATCTTCCACTGATTGGTTTACTCCTCAGATGGCTGCAAGGAGCCAGAACCTTCATTTAGGTCAAGACCCAGATGGATGCAGAGGCCCAAGATTCCGGGCCATCTTCCACTGCTTTTGTTTTACTCAGGCAACTAGCAGGGAGCTGGATGACAGGTGGAGCAGCTGGGACATGAGCCTACATCCTTATGGGATGCCAGTGCTACAAGTAGAAGCTTTACCCACAATACCACAATACCAGCCCTTATCTTTTTTCTTTCTGATAGCTTCCAATATAACTGGAGTAAGGTTGTATCTCATTGTTGCTTTAATTTTAGGAACATGAATAAATACACAACATTTATTAGCCATTATATAAATGAAGCACCACACCCATTCACAAACACCAGGATAATTTTTTTAAAAAAAAGATGAACAATAATCAAGTGTTCGTGAGGATACGGAGCCTTATATAATAAGTGGTCAGCCTAAAATAGCATAAAATAGCATAGCTACTTCAGAAAAAATTCTGGAGTAGATTAAACAAAAAGTTACCAAACAACTCAATAGGTATATGAACCAGTGACTAGGAAAAAAATGGGATTAAAAAAATAAGAATGCCATAAAAAAGGAATGGAGGACTGCTTCAGGCTGATACAAAAATGAACCTGGAAAACACTATGCTAAATGACAGTAGCCATTCACGAAAGACCATATAGTGAATAATTTATGTGAAATGCCTGCAATAGGCAAATTTAAGAGACAGTAGGTTTGTGGTTGCCAGAGGAGAATGGTTAGGGGGAAATATGGAATGACTACTAAGAAGCACAGTACTTCCTTTGTAGTGACACAAATGTTCTGGAATGAGATGATTTGTGATGGTTGTACAACTCTGAGAACACAAGGATATTTCAAAAGTTGTGGCCAATGGAATTAAAAGATAAGTTTATCCTGGAACAGAAATTTTAAATTCATGTAGTTTTTTTCCATAGCATTGAGTTCTATGATATTTTTTAAAATTTTTGCACCAAAATAAACATTGTTTAATTTCATATGGATAACATTTTTGAAGTTCCCACTTACTCCCCAAATCACTACATGGTATACTGTAAAGGGATGACTCTTATGGTATATGAACTATAACTCAACTAAAAATACATCTTGACAGAAAGCAATAGCATTATCTGTGGTGACAACAGAAGCATAAGCTTCATATTAATGAAACTTTCAAACTTACTGCGTATTTGGGAAAGGAGCCTAAAATACTAGCCATAGAGAGCAAGGGAGTCTAAACAGAGCTTTACACGTTGTTTGTCATAAACAAAAATCCCTTTAATTGGGAACCCACTGACCGTAATTATTGTTATTTCCTACCATGTTCTTAGCTCTAGGTCTGTGTTAGAATTTACCTCTATCATTTAATCCAATCCTTTAATCCATTCGTCCATCACGACCCCAAAGATAGAAATGATTTCCTCATGTTCAAGAGGTAAATAAAGAAGAAAGGGTGAAAGTTTATACCAAGGGAGACGAGCCTTTCTGAGAGTCATGGCCTCATGATGCATGAGCCTCATTCCAAATTACATTTTTAATAATACACAATGATGAACATTGGCAGTATAACATATACACACACACACACACACATATATATAAATCACTTGAAAAATTATAAAGGGCAGCATCTTCCTCTCCAGGTGCAGCACATAAATCAACTGCCTGTGATACCAGTAACCCATGTAAGTGCTGGTTCTGGTCCAGCTGCTCCACTTCCAATTCAGATCCCTGTCATTGCTTGCAACAGAAACAAAGTAAGACAGCCCGAGTGTTGGGGACCCTGCCACTCACAAGGGCGACCCAGGCGAAGCTCTCATTTTGTTCTGGCCCAGCCCTGAATGCTATAGTCATCAGAAGAGTGAGACAGCAGATGCAAGATCTCCTTTTCTGTCTCTCCCTCTCTATAGCTTTGACCTTCAGATAAATAAAGCATGTTTAAAAAGAGAGAGAGAGAGAGAGAGAGAGAGAGAGAGAGAGAGAGAGAAAGTTAGTGCCCCCTGGACTGTTCTGGACAGATTTCAGTGCACACATTTCCACCACATCACGTGACCTGTATAACCACCACCTGACACAGGTGAGGTGTCCTTATCACCAGTGGACCGCTCGGCCCATAGTGTAAACAAACAACTATAATAAGAGCCAGTCTCACCTATAGAACAAACCATCTTCTTGGAACCACTCTTCAGCATCTAGTTGGTACTTGAATTGTGTTTTCTAACTTCATTTTTTTCCTAATTAGTCTGTCATTCAACTTCCTCCAATTCAGATAACCTCCACGGCAGGTAGTCTGAGACGGTGAAATCTCACCACAGGTGTGTTCAGTACCCAGGACTGCAGCACATGGCTGAGCACGACTTCAACCGACACACCACCACTGGCACCACGACAAATGGACCCTCCCGGTATGCGCAGTCAAACCACAGGACCATGTGCCAGAACCCTGCCTCCCCGGACTAAGCTACATGAAAATATACTGAGCTTCCTACAAAAAATAGGTGAAATAATTTGAGCTAGGGACCAGCACGATAGCATAGCCTAGCATCTAAAGTACTCGCTTTGAATGCACCAGGATCCCATATGGGCACTAGTTCTATCCCCAGCAGCCCTGCTTCCCATCCAGCTTCCTGCTTGTGGCCTAGGAAGGCAGTCTAGGACAGCCCAAAGCCTTGGGACCCTGCATCCACGTGGTAGATGCAAAAGAAGCTTCTGGTTCCTGGCTTTGTATTGTCTCAGCTCCAGCTATTGCGACCATTTGGGCAGTGAATCAGTGGACAGAAGATCTTCCTCTCTGTCTCTCCTCTTCTGTATATATCTGCCTTTCCAGTAAAAATAAATAAATCTTTTTCTTTAAAAAAAAAAAAGAATATGGGCTAATCCTAAGTAAATTCACTTAGTTCAAGCCATATTCATTGCCTCAGTTAAGCTTCACAATCTTTTAAACCCACGTATTCTTATTCTTGTCATACATATGAAGAATCTGAGATTCAGCAACTAGAAAAAGTAGACAGAGACAGCAGTCTGTTTTCAAATGTCATGTTCTTTCCTCTACACCTTAGTGCCTCAGCCCCCCTCCAGCAAAAACAAAAACAAAACCCTTTGAAATACTTACCAAAGATGACATCCTGTCTTTTGATGACATCCTTCTCCTGCTGGCTACAGAACAGGGGATCCACCACGAGACTCCAGGATTCTGCTTCAAAGTCCTGGGCATCACTGCTGAGGTCACTCCACAGAGAAGAATCCACGACATCTAACATGTGTTCAGACAAGAAAAGCCAGAAGTACAGTAACACTCAGGACAATGATATCTTCCCTACTATCCATGTTTATGGACTCATCACAACAAACACGGGATCTTCTATCAACACAAGAATAACAAAGCCAAAATAGCATCACCTACGTCTGAAAAGCTGACTGATAGATGGTCTCAAACAGGAGAGCTTCCACAAAAGAAAAGAAGAATCCAATGTTTTAAAAAAAAAAAAATGATTGCATACACCAGAAAGAAAAGACAATGGAAGAGTCTTTTGTTTATTTTGGGTTTGCACTGCTTTAGTTCTATTTGCAGCAAGCTTCACAGTCCATAATATGCTGAGAGATTCTTGAACCCACTGATTTCTTTTACCCCAGGTTATTTGGCACTGTTCACTCAAATCTGGGTTTTGAACTTGCCTGCTTGATTTGTTTTTTTTCTTGGCAAAGACACAAAGCAGAGTGTAAGCACTTGGGTCATGAGTGAGTACACACTTTTCTGATCAAATTAGATCCAATCCACACACGTATCCATCAGGAAAACTGAACTCTGCTTGCCCAGACGGCGCTCATGGAGAGAGTAGATTCCAGCGTGGAACAGTACAGATGAGATGACAGTGGGTTTGAAAAGGCTTCAGTTTGTAATCAGAGAGTCAGATTCCAGGCAGAGTCCACTCCTCGAGACAGCCCACCCCTCTTGTTCAGCTTTCCTTCTTACTGACGCACCTTGGAAGACTGGATACAAAAGCCAATAATACCCAACTGAGTCCTGTCCTACAAAATCCACTTTTGAAAAAAAATATTCTAATTCTCCTAGAAGTAGGAGTCACCAGACAAGAATGAGAGACCTCCGCAAGCAGGGCAATGAAAATCTTAAGTAACACAGGAACCAGGAACCATTTCTAATTCACCAGGTTCTGAACGAATAACAAGCACACGATGGGTTTCATTCTGTCCATGATGCTTAGGCGCTCTTCTCTGGGGAATATGCCCACTTACACATAGCATCCTAGTTCCTCACTCACTATCAGGTTTTCACTCCATTTAGAAAATTGCAGAATCTATTCCAGAGACAGATCAGGAAACAGATTTCTTTTGCAAAAGAAGAAAAGAACATTCTGTACTTTACACCCTGCAGAAAACGCCCTTGTCTGAGCAGAAGCCTCAGTGAGCACAGGCACGCCACCTCCTCACCTTCCATTATGAAGCACTCCGCCGAGGGAGATGAGCCCACCGACTGCAGCAGCTCATCGGAGTGGGACCTGCTTCTGCAGTTGCTACCGTCACTTTCCGACTCCAAGGATGTCACTGACCTCCTGAAGCTGGGAGGGAGGCGGAAGAGAGCAGGGTTAGACCAGGCAAGCTCCTGCAGCCATCAAGATGCAGATAGACACAGAGCCTTACCTTTCCAAGGTGGGGCCTGGGACACTTCTGGACAACGGATGGACCTGCCCTGCAGTCTCCTTCCTTCCCGTGGGCAATCCAACAGGCATGGAGGAAGAAGTGTGCAAGGAGAGAGCTGGCTGTGGAGTGTCTCTAAATGACGAGTCTGGAAGTTAGAGTAGACGGCTCAGGTTGTTTGCAGAGAGGATAGTCATGACAAGTACGGGCAATTGCTTAAAGGCCAAAAAAAAAAAAAAAAAAACCCTAGAACAGCCACTTCTAATTTGCTGCACACCAGCCTTGTACCCTGCCTTCCCTGCCACAACCTGACACTTGATTGAAATGTCCCTGCCATTTCATACCCTCCTGATACCCATGCTGGACACTGGCTTCCTTCATCTCCACTTGTAGATGCTAAATGACACAAACAAGTACATGGAATGGGGAAACACTGGGCCAGCTTTCCCATAAACCTCTGCCTGCACTCCTGAAACCAGCTTTAAATAGACAGAAGGTGTTATTAGCTCTGGTATTAGAATGCATTCTGTGTCCATAAATAAGCATGCACACACAGGTAGCACACACCATCAAGGGAATGGAATGATGCCAGGCAGTCTACTCTTCCTGGCATAGAACTCTCAAGACAGGGAACCAGCAAGTCCAGCTGTTCTCTCATACAGTGAAAACTCAATGGTGCTTTCCTACTTTTCTGGCCTGTTCTAGAATCTTCCAAAAGTGAATGATTTCACATTCATGTTTACTACAGATGACATGCAAAAAATATTTCAGCCCCCAATAGAGTTGTAAACATACAAATTCTTGAGCAAAAGAGCAAAATAAATAAGCAGATATTGGGATATTGCAAAGAACCTTGCACGTATACTAATTCACCTTGTTTTCATGAATACCACATATAGAGAAAAAAATAAATGATGGCTTATCAATTCTAAGAATTCTTTTTAATTCTCACACAATATTGTGAAATTGATCCCAAAACTGATCAAGTTATTTTCATGTCAAGGCAACAGAGTACCTAATGCAAGAACCCACAGAAACTCAATCTTGCAACACACCCAGAGGCATGCTACTAAAAATTTGCATAGTTAATTGTCACTTGATTGATTTTTAAAATATCAGCCACCCTCTATCACAATAGCAATGAAATTAAGAGTTACCATGCATTTAAAATCTCTGCTTTTTGTCAACCCAGGTAATTTTATGTGGAAGAGATTTCAAAACTTCTCGCAATAAAGCAAAGGCTTTTTTAAACTTAGGAGATAATAGTGTGACAGATTCTTGCAAAAAACAGTAAGTGTTCAGTGACCAATAATTTTCAAATTAGATTAAATTTCAACAATTTGTAATTTAGGAAAAAAAAAACAGAACCACCCAGTTTCAAAAAAACAGGCAAGCAATGATGCTATGAATGTTCACCGTCATCCCACAGATGTAAGGAGACCAACCTCAGGCGCAGCTCATCAGAGCACCGGGCCACTATGAGAGCAACAACAGGAACTGAGAGGAAGTTTCACACTCCCAGCCTCAACATATATTTTTCTACCACATTTTGTCATTCGTAAGAAAGCGGTATGTATTTATATAAATATCTGCTACTTGCAGAAATACACAATATAATATATGTATTCAGTTAAAGTGTATCTCTTCCCCCCAAAAAAATGTTATTAAAATCAATAGCACCTCTGATACGCTAGATAGCATCTTGGAACGGAGACAACATGATAACATCTTCTTCTAGCCCTCCCCAACATCTGGCACACACATTGCAAAGGCTCTCGGGGCTGGCACAGATGTTGAAACTTTTCTTGACATCTTTGTATAAATTATGCCAAGGAGAAAACAAAGCAAAAAAAAAAATCAGAAAACAAGAGGAGCACTTTACAGTGGGAAAACGTGTGGCATGTACCAAAGCTCAACAAGTTCAAGTCATTTTCCACATCACTTACTTCCCAGGATGGCCTGTGGTTTGTTCTTGTTGTATTTCTCTTGGAATTTCTGGTAAAGAATATCAGAAACACAGAAAATAAGATCAAAGCATTGAGCAGCTGGAGGCCCATCCACACACACACACACACACACACACACACACACACACACAGAGTCCCAGGGAACAGGATTCTCATCTACGTCATTTTTGTTACAAGTATTTGACTTACTTCAGACAAAGAGGAATTTAATGCCAAAGGCATGCTCTGCGGGGGAGAGTAAAATCCGATGACAATGATCTGTATGAATTATCAGGAAGGTGAGCCTGTTGGCCCTGGGCCTCCGGGAGCTTCCCAGCCTCAACAGGAGCCTCAGGGGAACCAGAAATCACCAAATGACATGCTCTGACTAGGGCTGCAACCCAGTTCCTATCCACACTGCTGTCTTCCTGTCTCCCTTGGTTCTCTTCACTCCTGGCTATTTGTCTTGTCCACACAGGGCAACTGCCTTGAGTACTGGAACGCCCCCTTTCAAAACATGATCATGGCAAACATAGAGTGTGAGCTCTTGTCCAGTGGCTCGGCAGGAGGCTTGGAGGTGGGGGGTGATGGTTCCCTAGGCCAGAGGCAGCCTTCCTTAGAACCTGTCTCAGGCCCAGCCCAGACCTACAGATGCAGAAAATCCAGAAGGGTCCAAAAGGCTCTCCAGTCCCTCCAAGCAATGAGAATGCTTGAGAATTACTGCCCAACTCTCCCCCTCTTTTTGTTAAGGTCGATTTATTTTAATTGGAAAGGCAGATTTAAGAGAACTCTATTCTTCATTTACATATGTTCAGGGTCTACACTGGTGAACCAGCCCCCCAAGAGCTTTCCCTCTGCAAGTTCATGGGTAAGTCAACAGTGACACTCTCAAAGCAAGTGTAATGGAACCCCTGCAAGGAGCACTTTGGAAGTCAATCTAGGCGGCAATAATAATAATTTAAAAACAAAAAAGAAGAGCTGAACAGGAAGCAGACCCATGGACTAGGCACAGGACGGGTGTGAAAAGTGAACCAATTTGTATCTGCTTCCCCTTTCCCACAGCTCGCAAAATCCGTGTGTCTTTCGGGTTATCCACCCAGGAGATGTAACCTCATGGTGCCTTATCTGAGAACCTCACCCGCTGATCTCTCACAGCCCCTCCCCCCAGTCCTCACCCACCTACCTGTGGTTCAAATCATCTCAGTCACAAGTCCTTGGAGCCCGCCCACAGTCCCCCCCTCAAACCAATTCGCCACAGCCCCGCACCTTGCAGGCTCACCTGGATTATATAAAATGAGCCTCTACGTGTGCCCCTTTCTTTTTCCTGGCTCTCCCTGCCCCTCTCCATCTTGCCCCTGCCCCTGCCCTGGCATCCCCCCATGCTGCCACCCAGAATAAAAGACCTCCCTCCTAAGCACCTCGCTACGTCTAACATTCTGGCTTGTGGCAAGCTTATTGTGACAAAAAGGACCTGGCTGTGGAAATTAGCTACGAGTAAGAACTTTTAAGTGCGCGTCTAAAAACGAAGCGTGGGGAGATTACCTTGGGACACGCAGGCGCAGCGTCTCGGCAGCCCTTGCGGACATTCGTGTTACAGTCTGAAAGAAAGAGAAACACAGGCAGAAGTCCACGTTCTCCACGTTAACCAGAAATGAGTAAGGCCAGTGCTGCCCTTCTCGGTCGCGATACAACTGACAGGCACACAGCACAAGCGTTTGGCAAACGTAAGGAAATAAAGATCACGCGCTTCCGTTCCAGCACAAGCACCGTGGGAACACTGTCGTGTCCTTGAGCTGGCTGGCCCTGTCTGCAGGACGACTGGAACCGGGCACCACGTGCACTCCGGTGACTGAGAATTCCATTTCTCTCAGGTTCCTCACACCGGACAGGGCCTCTCACGCACGGGGCCTCTCATGCGTGGCCGGGAGCAACCCTCGGAGCCCACGAACCCCGAGGTTCGTGTGTGGTCGGGCTGTCAGTCTGTGACCGGGAGCCCTGTGAACCCAGAGTCTAAGAGAGCTTAGATATATCATCCCTGTGTTTTATGTCCTCAAGTCCCATGGCTCATCTCCTGGAAGAAGGAAGGGAACTCTGTCCCTGCCCCTTTGTTTGCCAGCGCATGCGCACACACCCAAGCTGCCCTCGGGTAACACCCAGAGTGGAAGGGTAGCTTTCTGCCAGGCCCAATGCCCCTCCTGTCCTCACACCCCAACATCTACGCCCCTTCACCCCAGCCATCCCTATAGAACTCGGAGGAGCCTGTGATGGATCCATGGGTTGCTTGGGGGGAACCCCCATACACACTAAGGGATTAAAGAACCCGTTTGGATCCTCTAAACCTGGTAGTCTGAGTCAGGAACCCACGGAGAGCTGGGCAGGAGGTTGCACCCTACAACCATCCTCCACATGCAAGTGTCAAGAGCCACTGCAGTCTGCATGATGGCCAGACCGGCCCAGCTGGCAAACTTGGGAAGCCAGTGGCTCTCTCCCCAATGCAGAAGAATAAAGGAAAGGAAAAAAGAAGGAAGGCAAAATATAAGATGCCACAGGACAAACTTATGCTGAAAACTCAAAGGCAAGCCACTGAACATCAGATGCAAAAATAGAGAAGAAAAATGTAGATATTGAAAACGCGTTCTCAATATGAAACAAAAGCTGAGTCTTCAAAAAGACAGAACCAAAGGGCCGTGAAGGGAGAAGAGAATGTGTGGCCAGCCAAAGAACTACTTTGTCACACAAATGGGCACTGCAGGGAGATAAAGGGGCAAGAAGAATTCCTGTGACAAAAGTATCAAAGCAGTGCTATGAAATTAAACTGGAAAGATTCCCTCTGAGAGTGGAGTAAAAAAAGAAGATATATATATATAAAAGCTGCCATCCAGAGAAGACACGGATCTGAGACTATACCTATTCAACACAGAATCCAAAAAATGAGATGAGAAATTATAACTTGTCAAAGCTGTATAAAGCTTTTGAAAAAGCAACCCAATGGGAAAATCAAAGTCTAAGGGTTTTCGAAGAAAAAATAATTCAGTGATATTTTTTCCAGAGACACATCCCGACAATACATGTACGATCTTAAAAACTAAAAGTGCTCAACCATGTGGACGGTGTCAAGAAAAAGGGATGACCAACAAAGAAACAAGCCAGGCCGGCTTCTGCTTTTCACAGCTACGCTGGGGGAAAAACAACACCTCACACGTGGTGAGCTGATGTCAACAGAGCACAGACGGGAAAAGATGTTGGTACAACATCTACTTAGCTTCATGAAGAAATACTGCTGGAATGCTGCAGGGAACAGAGCAACCCTATCGTAGCCTATTTGAGAATAGAATCAAAACGAGCAAACAGCTATAAGTGATAATCAAACGAAGCGAATGTGGGCAGTAAAACAAACTAAATCAAAAAAAAAATCACATCTTAAAAAAAAAAAAAACCTGCTAAGTAGGGACACAATAAAAATGTCAACTTTTTCTTGGAATACAAAAATCACCCTTGAAAGACTAAACATACGACATAAAAAGAATACAGAGGCTGGGGGTGATAAGCATAAGAGAAATAAAGTATTAAATTATTAGCCTTAACAGCCTTATCACTCTCATTAGCAGACACTGAGAGCATGCAATGCCAGTTCCCTGGAGGAGATGAAAGTAAGCAGCACATGGTCTGAATAGCTCAGCGAGACATCAAGGAGAGCAGCAAGCAACTATAAAAGACAGTTGGAAGCACTAAAATGAAATGGAAATATAAAAAGCCCTGTTATAAAACAAGATCTTGCAGTTACAGTACAGATTATCTTTGGCAAAATTGAAGACACACAGCCCAGATCAAAAAACCACAGAGTTAAAGAAACAAGAGGAAAGCAAAGCAGAGACTCATCTGACACAGAATTCCATGTAAATAGGGAGCTTCCTGTTTGCCCTAGAAAGCAGCAGAAGATAGTCCAGTTGCCCGGCTCATGTCATCCACGTGGGAAGCTCATGAGCTCCAGGTCTCCGGGTTCTGCCTGTACCAGCCCCAGCTGCTGTGGCCATGTGGGGAGTGAACCAGTCGATGGAAGATCTTTTTCTCTCTTTGCCTCTCTGTCCTTCTCCCTTCTTCCCTTCTTTGTTGCTTTGCTTTTTAGATAAATAAAATTTTGAAAACAAAAAAATAAACATTCACCATAAAAATGCATATTATGGAAAAAAACTATGCATAAGTTTCAACACATTTTGCATCAAAATCAACTTTCTAAGTACCTTTTTTCCATGAGGTACTATTGCCCATGCAGAAAAGTAGGGGAAATGAGAAGCAAGAAAATCACCACAAAAACGGCAGAGGCAAGGAAAGTGACAAGGGGGAGGATTAAGAGTAAACAAGTCTGAGGACCCAGGCTGTGGTCAGGGCTTTGGGACGAGCTAGTAGCTCACAGATAGGGCAGTGGATGAAAGGAGCAGGGGTTTAGTCCAGTAAACAAACAACAAAAAAGGCAAGTTCTCAAGTTTGAGTGCCACTAAAACAGGTGAGTATGGTGGAAATAGTCATTATAAATTACAGGTGATAATATCTAGACAGAGGAAAAGGGGCACCATTCTCTCAGCCACCCAAGAGTCTACCAGCCTGGTAATGGTGAAAAGGAAACACAACAAGTGAATAGCTGGGACAAAACGCAAGTGGGATCTGTGAAGCCAAGGTCTTAGCTTCCAGGGCCAGCAGCACAAGCAGGAGAGCAGCCCATAGCATGCGTACATAGACACATGGGATCTGGGGGGCCAACACACTCCCAAACACCTTATTTACACCTGACGTTTTGTCCTAATTCTCAAAAGTGCCCATCAGCTAGACAGATGATGCTCAGACTGTAGGCACTGGAAATGTGTAAGGAGAAAATGGGGGATAAAGACATTTATCTAGGAGGAACAGGTGTGAATGTGGCACTCTACTTTAGAAGCAGCAAAGGAGATTGAAAGTTCCAGAGCTGAGTTTGGAAGGTACTTACAGAAAAGGTGACAACGCAGGTAGCAAGGACAGGCGAGCAGTGTGCTTTGGATAAGAGGAGAACATTGACCTAAAACAATGGATGTGGACATGAAATCAAAGGAAAGATTGCCACATCCACTAGCTAGAAAGTGATCCCAAGTTTCTGTCGGCAGCACAATTTCTGTGAAGAGTGGTCAGAGGTCAACATGCAGGTGATTAATAAAGAACAGCAGAAAAGAGAAAGATCTTGGATGTGACTGAGAGTACAACTTAAGGTACCGATGGGGCCATTGCGGTGATTCAACAGGCTAATTCTCCATCCTGTGGCACCAATATTCCATATGGGCACCAGTTTGTGTCCCAGCAACTCTACTTCCAACCCAGCTCCTTGCTTATAGCCTGTGAGAGCAGCACAGAATGGCCCAAGTCCTAGGAATCATGTACCCACGTGAGAAACTCAAAAGAAGCTTCTGCCACCCAGGCAACCTTGGGAGTCTGGGGACTCTTACTGGGGGCTGGCAGAGCTGAGCAAGCCTGGGAACTCCTATGTGTGTTTAGGTCCAAGGCAAGGGGACAAGTAGCCAAGGGTCTCAGGCTGGCATGCTGTGCTGGTAGACAGGGCCTGGGGACTTGTTAACATGCTTGGGTCCCAGCTGGGTAAGGGGTACAGTCTCATGCCTACACATGCCAGAGGCCTGGATCTGCAGTGTCAGGTGGGCAAGTAGGACTTCAGGCCAGCATGCACCCCTTCCAACAAAGACTGGGCTGGGGAACCCATGTGCTCACAGTACAGGGGCTGTGGGTTGATCAGGGAAGGGGTATAGGATGTGAGGGAGCAGAGTGCTGCTAAGGGACTATGTTGCAGGTGAAGAATGAATTCTGGGCAACTTCTGCTGACAAGCCAATATACTTGAAGGTTAGCCAGGGAGCTGAGGCCAAGCAGCATGGAGGAGGGAAGCTAGAAGACCTTTCTGGGTCAGACTGATGCACCCTCCCATGTGGGAGACCTGAGCTGGGCTAGTTAGCATCAACCACCACCAACCACCACCCACCAACACACACTAAAGCTAGGGAGGCCTACCTGGCAGGGCTAGATCACAGCGCCCATCAGTGTCAGAACAGGGAACGGGTAATGTTAGACTAGGTAATGACACTAACCAGCACATGAGAGAACCAGGTCTAGGGGCAGATTCTGGGGAGGGATTTGTGAGCTGACCCCTGCAGGACTATCATACCAGCTGGTTTGTTCAAGATCTGAGGGGAGTGACAGGCTGAGCTAAACATGGCCATGGAATCCCCCAACACTCATAGATTCTGGGGTTGGGAACAGGCCAGGCTCTTCCAGGTTTTAGCAGCCATAGGCACCTGCAAGAATTTGGTGTGGGGTGGACCAGGCCACAACATCCACCAGCACACACAGAGGCCAAGACAGAGGGGTCAGACTATGCTGGGTAAGGGCCTAGCACCCATTGAAACATGTGAGATCTGGCTCTGGGAGTGGGCCTGGTGGGGAAGCTGGGGGAACTCCCTTAGTGGCTGCAGTTCATGTTGAGTAATGCCTGGGTGTTCATCATGCTGCGCAAGGCTGCTCCACTTGTTGGCAAGTGTGTGGGCTTGTTTGGGGGAAGGGGAAACAGATTGTTCAGGGCAGAGCCAAACTGTAGCACACTGGCATGTGCAGGAGGCAGGATGGGGTGCAGGCTATGCTGTGGGGTGCAGGCTAGGCTATCCCAACTACTGTTTGCATGAAAGCCAGGGCTGGAGGTAGACTGGACAGGACTAGGCTGCAGCAACCATCAGTGAGAGTTGGGATTGGGGGCAGGCTGGGACAGGCCAGGCTGCAGCATCTATGGCAAAGGCCAAGACAGGGGAAGGGCTATGCCAGGTTGCATCAGAGCAACCACTGGCATGCACAAGATTTGTGGCTGGGAGCAGGCATGGTCAAGGGAGCTAAGGGTATGCCCGCTGGGTTGTGGCTCCCATTGGTGAGCACAAGAGACAGAATGGGAGTGACAATCTTGGCTGGACAAGACTGCAGTATGCCTCAGCATGGGTGCGGACCGAGTCTGGGGTGTGCCAGACTGGGCTACGCTCCAACACCCACTGCAGCTTGCAACAGCCAGAGTAGGTGTAGGAGGGGTTGGGCTAGGTTTCAACATTTGTTGAAGCACACGAGAACTGGGTCTGGGGGGGTGAACCAGGCATAGCTGGGCTGTGGCAACCAATAGTAAGAGCCGAAATGGGTGTGGGCTGCCAATTTCAGGAAGCAGGCCAAGTCAGACTGGGCTAAACACCCACCAGTGTTCATAAGATCTGCCACTGGGAGGTGATCTGATAGAGCAGCTTGAGGAGCTCCTCTGTCAGGATGTCGTCCCTGCAGGTGAGCAGCCCAGACAAGGCCAGGTTATTACAGTACCTGCCAGCACGTGCATTGGTCAGGTCTGGGAGAAGGCCAAGCTGGGCCAGTTCATAGCATCCACTGGCAGATGTGAGAACCAGGACAGGGTGCAGGACAAGCCATGTCTTCACCATGCATCTCCGAAATAGATATTGGCTTTTGGTCTTTTTTTGGTGGGGAGCTGGCTCTCTCATCTGGATCATTGCTTTTGCTGATGCTTTTTCTCATTGTGTTATTTTTTTCCTGTTGATTTGGGGGATTTATTCTCTGATTTGTTTATTCGCAGTTTCTGGTCTCGGTGCAGTAGTCTGGAGTAGGTGTGAATCTGCTACTGTTATTTGGTTTGCATACGGAAGAGAATTTTCCTGAGTACTACAGGGTGTGTTTGGCGGGGGTGGGAGGTAGGGTAGCTTTGTTAACCCCTGGATGTTTATAACCCTCTGTAGCTGGATTTTTCTAAAGCCTGTTGGTTACGGCATTGTCCTGTGTATGTCCTCAGGGGTAGGGTGTTGTAGTCCCCTTCCAGGGACTGCTGGGCTCCCTCGGATGTAACCCATTCTCTTGTATCCTAGGCCGCCTCTGCGTATTTGCTGTTCCTTAAACCTGCCAGCCCTTCCCTGAGTTTCTGCTGCCTTCATATAGTCTGGGGTAGCTCTAGGGTTTGCTGGAAGGGCTCTGGCCTTTACTCCAGGGACACAGAGATCTACACCTCCATGAGGCTCACACTGGCTGATGCTGTAACAGACACTGAGGGATAAGATCCCTAGGGGACCAGGTGGATGCCACTGAAACAGTGGCTGCAGACTAGAATGGCATTAGCGGTTGCGATGACAACCAGCTGGATTTGGCATATATTTTGAAAATACAGCCAAGAGGATTGTTGAGAACTGGATTCAGGGAGTGAGAGAACAGGAGATAAAGAAACACACTCCCAAATTGTTGGCAGAGAACGACGGCATTGCCAGTAACTGCAGGATTTAGCGGGCATTTATAGAGGGAGGGCTCGGGAGCTCAGCATTAGGCCTGCACCCTGTGGACATCTCTGGATATCCCTGTGGAGCCATCAGTCGGCAGCAAGGTACACAGGCCTGGGATTCAGCAAGTTCATGGACTGAAAATACTGACTCTACCCAGGCATGGTGGCTGTGTGGCTAAAGTAAAAAATTAGGTTTATGTTAATGTGCTTAGCAACAATACTACACCCAAGGAGTTTCCTACCCAGCAAGACAAACACACAGACATCACACACCAGACCTGAGAACTTACTGGAACACTGGAATGACTCTTTCCCCAGGACTGATTTGTCACAAGCTGAACACTGCGGGACGCCAGAGAATGTCGCAGGGACACACTGATGTCGACTGAGTTTCTCTTTGTCTTTACCATCCTTGCTTTTCATCTTCATAAGCAGCAGCCGCAGCAGGAAGGTGGGGAAGACAAGGAAAGAAAAATGCCATAAGCCAGGCTTCTCGCAGATGTCACGGAAGTTCTTCACTGTCTTTAGGAATACAAGAACTGCACAGAGGAACACAACGACACCAAAATGGCATACATAACGCCTAGGATGCACTTGTCTGACTAATCCCTAAGCAAAGGAGAAATTCAGAGGCAACTGAATTGAGAGGGGAGGTGGAGACTCCACCAAAGGCTGAGAAGCAAAGGCATCCCTGTCTTCCAAGAATAGGGACGGAAGCGTAACCACCTTGGATTTATTCCGAGGACTAGTCATCCTGTTCATGAGGAAGCTGAAAGTCCGGCTCACTTTGTATTTTTCAGACTCCGATTTGGCAGGTATGATGTATTTATCCCATTCTTCTTCCTGAATTCTACAAAAAAAGAACCTGTTATTATGGTTCATGGGACCCAAAGAAGGAGCAAAGGACATATACACGGGTAGGCATGTGCTTATGTATGTGTGTATATATTATATGGATGCATGCAACATATGTGTTTCCATGAAATACTTAAAAGCAATTATAGGTAGACATTAAATGTATGATTGTACTCTGTGAAAATGTTGCCTTCAATGACAACTTTCCAGGACTTTCATTTTTACCATTGATTATGAACATACTTAGACTACACACTCCTTCCTTTAACAAAAGAGATTGATTCATGCATTCGATAGATTTATATTTATATATGTATTTATATTTATATTTTTAGAAAAAGAGATCCATGGCTCACTCCCAACTGGCTGTAGTAGCTTAGGAGCTCAAGCATTTGGGCCACACTCTGCTGCTTTCCAAGAACAATAGCAGGGAGCTGGATCAGAAGAGGAGCAGCCGGGACTATACTGTTTCCGAGAATCCTTCTTATACTTCAGCAAGCATCTATGTACCAGGCACATATGGTAACAAAACTAAATTATCTGAGCTCTGCATTAGTTGTTTTAGAATTCAAATCTGTGACTGCTTTTAGAGAAAAATCAGTACGTGGTTCCAGAGCTTTCTCTGAGCCATGTAGATGGAAAGATGTAGTCTGGATTGTACGAGTCTTGTTAAAACCCTGCATGTGAAACTGGGTTGCCATGGAATGGAAACATGTGAAAAGGGAAACAAGAAGTAAATAGAATCGAATGTGCCTTATGAAGATCAAGATCGTACTTCGCCTCTATTCCTACAGTCACCTTTAGTCGCTTCTGTCATAATCCGCTTAAAATAATCAATATTCTAGGACTTTACATAATCGATATTCCTAATCAATATTCTGTCGTAATTCTGACTGCTTAGCATAATCAATATTCTAGGACCGTTAGTAGCTTAGCCAATCTCTTAATTTGCAAAAACATATTTCATAATATCTGACAGGCTAACTTTTGGAAGCATGAAAATAAAGCCATTTGAGAGTCTAGAAAGAATCCTCTCTTTATGTAGCCTCTACCATCAATAACAGCCTTCCGGCGTCTACAAGAAGAGCACCGTAGTGAGGAGACCTAAACCTCAAAATTAAACAACAGTTGGGTCAGTGTGGACCTTGGGAATAAGAAGTCCACCTCCCCTACCTCCCAACAGGAGCACAACTAAACTCTCTCAAGCAAAAGAAACCCGGGGCCCATGTTGTGATGTGGCAACTGCAATGCCAACATTCCATATGGGCCCCAATTTGAATCCCAGCTATTTCATTTCCAATCCAGCTCCATGGTGATGGTCTGGGAAAAGCAGCAGAGGATGGCCCAGATACACGGATCCTTGCATGCACCCACATGGGAGACCCAGAGAAAGCTCCTGACTCCTGGCTTCAGCCTGGCCTGGTGCTGCCCATTGCATCCATCTGGTGACTGAACCAACAGATGGATGATTCATTCTCTCTCTCTCTCTCTCTCTCTCTCTCTCTCTCTCTCTCTCTCTAACTCTTCCTTTCAAATAAAAGAAAATCTTTTAAAAAATAAAATAAAATTTCCCATTATCTAACTGTACTTTCAGTTTCTCTACGTTTTAGAAAACTATATCAAGAATAACACTTTCAAAAAAAATAACACATTCAGGCTTTTATTCCAACACTTGTACAAATTACATAAAACCACCTCACTTAACATTTTAAGCTCAAAGGTTGGCAGGACCCAAGAGATGACAAAGGAAATAAACAAATGCTAAAACATTCAATATTAAAGTCTTAGAACTACCCCAATCTGGGAGAAACACACTGCCACAAACACGGTTTCTCAGCAGTTAGGAGGATGGGTAAGATTGCGTCTACACTGGACAAATGCAGAGTTTTGGCTGATTCTTTTTCAGTGCTAACTATGTGATATTCACCTTTTCAACGCCAGCACTATAAACGAGAACCGGGAGAGGGAAGAAATCCCAACTAATTTCACAATAGAATTTAAATACCTTTCATTTGTTAAGAATCTGAGAATGTTAAATTCTTTTTTATATCTCAGAACAACAGTGTTTGATTCTATTATCAGTTTAATGACCAGTGGAATCTCTCACAGTAAACTTTTACAAGCTTCACGCTTCAGACTCCCCTGGTATTACCTTTTCAATAAACATGTATTTAAAATATATTAAAAGCATGTATGGATCCTCATTTTTTTTTTCATTTAATTTGGAAGGCAGAGAATTTCTTTCATATCTGGGTCAGGCCAAGACAAAAACAGAAATCTTGAACTCAATCTTGGTTCCCATGTGGCTGGCAGGGACCTAATTACTTGAACCACCATCAATTACCTCCCGGGCAGCATATTGGTAGGAACTGGACTGGAGTCAAGCCAGGAATTTGGCTATGGGACTTAGCAGCCTAACTGGCATCTTAATGGCTACACTAAATGTCTATCTACCCTGGGATCTTCAATAAGTTAGCCTTCAATTCACCATATCTATAATTCTCTATTTTTTTAATGAATTAAATATCTAAGGTCTTAAAAGGAAGTACCACTCTTCATATTAAAAATGAACACTTGGGGACTTCCTGTAACACTCAAATAATAGGATTTCTTTAAAAGAAAAAAAAACAAGGCAGCAAGAAACAAAATAAGTGAAACGGGTCTTGGAAATGAGCCTTTAAGGTCTAGGATAAAACATCTTTACATCTAGTTACCCATTATTTTTCCAGAAATTATCTAATATAAATAACAGAATTCCAAAGAAGAACAGGACCAGAGCAAAACCTTAAGTATGGCAGGGGATCTCAATGCGCAGCCAATGACGTGCCAGGGACAGGGTGAATGACCTAACGACCTGTTCCACCACACACACTAAAGAAAATGAGAGAGTTGGAGCTTTCCAAGGAAGATTAGGGAACAGGAAAAAAAAGTGATAGGGAACTAGGAGTGAGACAGGGACTTCACACACATCCCATCCAAATTAAAACATCTCAGAGGTGTCTGCTCGGTCAAGTGTGACACTGTTGCTCCTCTTATAAATATTCCTGATTTTTTTTTTCAAAGAAGAATCTTCATCAACCAAAACATTAAAAAGATGACAGAGAGAAGACTGACAATCAAAATGAGAACCATGATGATGATCAAATTCCAGAATTTGGAAGTACACTGCTTAAACAATGTGATCAATGCAAGCTATTTAAAGCAGTGCAAAGTACATAAAACACTCCATAATTGTCAGTTACTACTGCTTCTGCTGCCATCATCATCGTCACTGCCCAACGCCATCACCATCATTATCATTCTAGTCTCCCAAGGGATCCTTGGTCTTCCTGTCTGTACCCCCCGGAAAGCTTCGCCTCATTGTAAAAAACCAGAAATGAACAAAAAGATGCTTTTTCCCATGACACTTTCATTCTAAGACTTAAAATAGTTTCCCTTGCCATATTATATTAAAATGTTCACAGCCTTAGCATGAATATTATCAAAAGTAAAGGGACCCTACTCTCTGACAGATAACGGCTTAGATCCCAAGACTGACATTATTTCTAGAACTTGCTCCACAAAGTACCCTCACTGTTTCACTATGAGTCATGGGTAGTAAGTTAATCAAGTCTGGTAGAACTCAGAAACCACATTGTCATACTTGTCTGCTACCCAAGCTTGACTGTTGCAATAGTTCTACCTTCTAGAGAAACAGGGAAAAAAAATACAGATGCTTAACTGGAACTACATTATCAACCAGAAAATCTGTAATGCTTAAAGCACTTTCTGCATCATTTATCCTCTGCTTCAAATTCAGAAGTGCCGAGCAAAAATCCATAAAAAAGAAGACAGCAGGTTCATCCTGACTGATAAAAATGGAAGGTTCTGGGGTCAGCACAGAGGTGTTGCACGCTAATCCTCTACCCTGTAGCACTAGCATCCCATGTGGGTGCCAGTTCTATCCCGGCTGTCCCACTCCTGCTCATGGCCTACCAAAACAGAAGAGGATGGCCCAAGTGCTTGGCCCCCACACCCACATGGGAGACTTCAATGAAACTGCTGGCTCCTAGCTTCAGATTAGCTTAGCTGCGGCCGTTGCAGCCATGTGGGGAATAAACTAGTGGATGGAAGACCTCTTCCTCCCTGTGCTTCTTTCTCTTTGTAACTCGGCCTTGCAAATAAAAATTCAACATAATCTTCGGAGAGAGAGAAAGGCAATGTGTAGGCGTTTTTTGTCACTGACCCCTCTCAGGAATCAATCACCGAACAGGTGATCATGTCCCTGAGGAACAGGCCCAGAGCACATCTGTGGCCTTTCCAAAGTTGTCTGTCCTCCCCCTGCTCTCTCTGGGTCCTGTGCAAGTTGGAGGCATGTGGCTTAGTGCCGAGGCCTGAACATCTGGGGACTGAGAGGAGGGGCTGGCTACTTCCACCGACACAAACCACACGGGCTGGTCATGCCGAAACCTATCATGAGATACCGCACAGACATAAAAAAATGACATGCAGACACTTTGACCGTGGATCAAGCGGTCCCTGGGGAAAATGAAAGAGTTCAGGTACCTTTGGTCTTTTGGAGGCTCCGACAGGCTGTAAGCTCTTTGCTCTGCGAGACACAGGAAAAATAAGTGAAAATGGAGACAGACAAATGAACAGTTATGTGTTATTCTGAAATGCACGTGTCCAGCCATGTTTTATCATTCTATACATTCCCAGCTAAAAAAACAGCAGGAGAAAAGCCATCTTATAAAACTAGGGCATTGCTCTGGATCCTTTCATCACTTTTTCTAGTTTGGAGAGGCTGGGAAGGAAGCCAAAACTCAGCAGCAGTTCAAGACTTGTGAAGGAAGTCAGCATGAGCAAAGAGCAGCAAACTTTCAGAAGTACAGAGAACAAGTTGCATCTTTTTGATTACTTCTCACCAGAGCTTCATTCCTGTTTCTTAACATGAATTTCCAAGCATACAGAATCAATAAATAGCTTAGCTGCTTTTTGGCAAAGCTCAAAGGAAAAGTCTCGAAGGCTAGCAGAAGGAAGAGTGCATCTTAGTCCAGCCGCCAGCGCCTCTATCAAATCCTGGCAGCAGCCAGCTCAGCGCCCTGCTTTGCGGGCCCGTGGGAAAGTGGGAACCACCTTTCCACACGGGACGGGTGGAGGGTGGGAGGGCAGGTTCATGCAAGCAGCCTCACGCCATCTCGTCTGCAGAGTGGAGTACTTACTGCAGGGCTGAAGCACAGATACTGACTTAGACAAGGAGAGAGACTGAAGGAGGGCGCGGCCACTGTGGAGCACACCATCTACAGAGCAGGACAAATCCTTTACCGTCACGATCCACTACAGTGAGGAGGTACCGCGAGTTTGCAAAGGGAAACGGGCCAGAGATACAAAGGGGCCTTCCAAAACTTCACAGGATGTTGGTATTATAAAGAACCACACATGGAGTTCAAAAACTTCTGCACATGAAGGAACTTGGCTTTTTTTTTTTTCATAAACTTTTTGAAGTTTCCTCCTAAGGAGGAGAATATATATATCCCCTGAAATGTGTAAATATTAATGTTGTACTTAATGCATGCTTGTCCATAACAGAAAATCGACTTGGAAGAATCTGAAGGCTTTATTTTATAGTTATGATTAAATGTTGCTCAAAATTAAATCACGGGCATAGAAACCATGTCGCTTATTGTAAACAGGGTGACGTTCCAAGAGATTAACCATGTTCCTAAGATAATCAAGCTGTAAAGTAACAGAACAGATTGAAGCAACTGGACAAAATCTAGTAGAATTCCATCTAGTTGTTCATAGAACTTTAAAAACTACGCTTAATTCACTCCTACTTCTTGAATATAGAACACTTTGCCCATCTTGATGAGACAGATAATAAAAGTAATCACTTCAATACTGACGATGTTTCTTTCTATCTAAACCCACAGTGTACCAGAGAGAATTTAAAAGCTTGATTTTGTTTTATGTGCACAAATATTAAATATTAAAATTATAACCACTTCACTCTTGGCTCCAAAAAAGAGGCATAAGACATCATCGTAAGAAACCCTTTGAAACTGAGGACATTGAACATCACAAATAAAAATAAAAAGATTAAAAGACCACCCTGCCTTTGCATATTTGCAGTATGTTCTGTGCCACATAGGGCAGCTCACTACTGGAATCAAAGGAGACTAGGATTCTTCTGAAAAAGTTCTAGGACTGTTCAAAACTCACCAAGGGACAATCTACAACAACACCAGCATCCATTTACTTTTGATTAAGTAAATTAAGTAACGAAGCATTAGAAACATCTTAAAACTAGACAAACCATCACACCTATGCTTTTATTACATAGAAGCACTTACAACTATTCCTTCCGCATTAAGAGTTAATGAATCCAATCCAACCATTTGCAGCCATAGAGCTCTATCCCTTGGAACTTTTGTATATTTCCTGGTTACAATTCTTAATGCCTAGATACTATAAAATTTCATCCAGACAATCTTATCTGTAAATATACTTGTCTAAAAATAAAGTTCTATTTAAAAATATATATATAAGGTTCTATTTACCACCACCCCCCCAAAAAAAACAGAGAAACTGATTTTTTCATTCTTCCAAGTAACGGAAAACGTAAAGATTAAGTTTTATGCAAGGCAAAGATATCATTCCTTGCTCATTAAATCATTAATAAGGGGCCCAGCACTACAACCTAGTGGCTAAAGTGCGTGCCTTGCATGTACTAGGATCCCATATGGGCACCAGTTCATATCCCAGCTGCTCTATTTCCATTCCAGCTTGCTGTTTTTGGTCTGAAAAAGCAGTAGAGGATGGCCCAAAGCCTTGGGATCTTGCACCCACATGGGAGACACAGAAGGTGCTCCTGGCTCCTGGCTCTGGATTGGCTCAGTTCCAGCTGTTGAGGCCACTTGGGGAGTGAACCAACAGATGCTCTTTCTCTCTTTCTCTTCCCTCTGTGTAAATATTTCTAACAAAAACAAATAAATGTTTAAAGAAATAAACAATTAATAAATAAGGGTTCTTGTCCTCTATGGACAATAAATTTCTTTTCAGTCATCCATAATTTCAAGCTTTAGAACTCTGTACAAATCAGGTACACTCAAATATAAAGGTAGGATCATAGGTATATACAAGTCTCTCTATTTGCAAACTGCTTAAAACTAGGCCCATCAGCGAAAAAGATGCCAAGCTCTTATCAAACGGAGGCTGGAGGAAATGTGGAGACCCCAGAAAGAGCCATGAAATGAGAAAAACAGACCCAGAAGGCATGAGAGCTAATTCAACCCACCTCCTTTAACCCTTTCCTTTCTCTTACAACTTTTCTCCCTTTCTTCACTCCAAAATAAGAACATTTATCATCCACCTTGATTTCTACTCTTAATAACATGTCCCAGAAAAAAAAAACTGTATAACACAATTTATATTTTTATGTATCATGCCTATAAAAATTCACTCAATACATAATTATTTCAACACCCAGGACATGTAAATCATATCTTAGGAGAGTAACTCCAACCACAAAAAATGATCTATTTACTATTGTTCCACATGGCATACAGATATAAAATCATTTTTTAAATTGATAAAGTAAAAATAAGGAAAAGAGAAAGAAAAGAGACCTTATTTTCAATATTGTCTGTTGGGCAATAGGATGCCAAGGCGCATATGATGCTTTATTTCTTGTGTCTCAAATAGCTAACAAACAAGAAAGGCATAAGCTCATTCATTGACAAAAATCTCACTCTAATATCTTGTCCATTACATTGGCATGTATAATTCCAAATATGCCTCTTCATATCATTATTATACATTATTTACAGAAATCTGAAATTGTACTTCAGAATAAAGCTGAAAATAGGGTCAACAACGGGCAGTGACTACAAAGAAATATAAATTGTCCATACTTGTATTTATAGATCTAAAATTGAAAAAAAAAATCTATAGATCTGGATTTTGAAAATTCATCAGGCTATATACTCACGATCTGCATCTGGCATAAGTGTATTACATTTAATTAATTTTTTTTAAGTTGTAATATTGATTGTTTACATTGCCACAAAAAAAATGAGATCAGGCTAACTTACTCCTGTTGCAAATATATTGTTACTTCAACTCTTTAAAGTCCCTTGCCAAAGAAAAAGATCCATTTTGCAATGCTTTGGTTCTGAAGAGTCTGAATTGTTTTAGCACTTTGTAGGGCTGGCAAAAGTAATTTGTACTAATTTGCTTAGATAAAATGCTCTGAAACTCTTACAATATCTGCCTGGACTCAATTCTAGTCTGCACCATCATCAAGGAAAACATTCAGTTCAAGCACGGATTTCCAATGAGCTCTGAGCTTAGAAAAAACAATGACGAGAACGGGCTCGGCATTTCTTGCTGTTCTTCTTGCCTATCTAATGTACTTACACTATCTAGAATGTTCCAGAACAAAACAGTGAACAATGCTTACCCTCGTTTGAATTGCACACTGGAAAATCACGCACCAATCGAGTTTTTCCTAAAGAAATTTTAGTTGATGAACAGGAATAAGAACGTGAGCGGATTCCAGAAAGCAAGGATTCCTGAAAGAGAACACCACAAAAAATTTTTTTCTTTTACAATTCTACAGGAGACTTGCACATGCGTTCATCATTCATGTTAACCACCATCTTTTAAAATAAATTTACTTAAATATATTTACCGTACACAAAATGACAATATAGGGTATACACAGATATTAAAATGATTGTGATAGTGAAGTCAGCTATCATATCTGAAGATCTAATGAGCAACAATAAGAACTACAGACAACAAATATGTTTTCGCCAAGTGATGTTTTAACAGAGCCAGAGAGAAAGCTCTCGCATGTTCACAGCTCAGATGTTTGGGAAGCTGAAGTCAGCAGCTGACTCCAGGCTTCCTCCATGGCCACAGGGACCTGAGTACTTCCCAGAGTTTGCGCTGGCAGGGAGCTGGCATCACAGAACTCCAATTCACGCACAATTGCAAAGGACACAGACCACATCAAAACACTCACCCCTACTACGTGACCGTCTTTCAGTGCCTAAGTAAATTTGGAGTTCCTGGAGAGATGCTGAAACATCACTGATGATTTATAGATCTTTAATATTACTTTTTCTAAATGACCTGCCATTTTTCTGTTTTCCAAATTCGACATTCTTTCTGTTATTACAGTGACAGCACTCAAGAACAAGCAGCATGACAGGAGAATTAAAACATGAGATTTTATGTTCTAGAAACTTTAAATTAATATACAACAGAATCTCGTTAAGGCCATGTATAGCAGCACCCTAGCCCAACCGGCTGGAGGACTGGTTCTACCTGGGGAATTTGAAGGTATCATTCAAAGTTGGAGCTTTGTCTACCAAACATCAAGCCACAGGGAACTATCTGAATCTCCACATAGTCCCTAGCCGTCCTCAATGAAGCCACAGGGGTGCCATGAGTTCACTGGCTCCAGGAACACAGAGGGGAGCTGAAAACAGAAGCCTGACCTCATTTCCGGGCCTAGCTGTGGCTGCCTGCTCGCAAGGCCTGAGCATCCTCAAACCTCAGCAGGTGAGCTGCCTCCAGGGCACCCTTGCCAAGTGCCACCCTCTCCACTGAAGTCATGGATAGTAACAACTTTTCATGAAATGGAACTCGGAAATCAGTCCAGAACCGTTTGGCTGAAAGTCATTCTGGGTAATTTCTGAAGCAAGGCAAGATCTATTTTATAAGACAGATATACTTCCTGAATGACGTGCAACTGTTTCTCAAAGACTACCTCAAATGCAACTCTAAAAAGTATCCACACTGGCAACAACCACCATTTCTTTTTACTGAAAAATATCACGACATTCAATTTCAAAATATCAGCATCACTCTACAGGTCTCACAGCCAAGAAAAAAAATGACCAAGTATCTGTGGTCAAAAGTCTAGACTTGATTTCCACCTCTGTGACTGCACTGGGATAACCTGGACAACACATTGACCTTACCAGATTGTCATCAGTGCAAACAATAAAGTAATGATTTTTGAAGAGCACAAGGGACCAGCACTGTGGTACAGTGGGTTATCCCACCACCTGCAATGCTGGCATCCCATGTGACTGCTGGTTCAACTCCTAGCAGCTCTACGTATGATCTAGCTTCCTACTCATGTGCAGTGGAAGATGGTCCATGTCCCTGGGTCCCTGAACCCACATGAGGAAACCCAAATGAAGCTTTTGACTCCTCCCTTCAGTCTGGCCTCTCTCTAGCTATTGCAGCCTTTTAGGGAGTGAGCCAGGGAATAAAATCCATCTGTCTAGCCATCTCTCAGTCTCTCTTTATAACTCTACCTTTAAAACAAATATAGAAAACTTTTAAAAGTAATAATAAAACAAAAAAAAAACAAGCAGTACTTATAGTCTGCATGAGTTATAAGAAAATCATGTGGTACATGCATAAAACACATTTAATATATAGGAAATAATGCTAAAAATAAGGCATTATCATAACAACCACAGCAAAAGAAATTCTGGTATAGTGGCACATTGTTTGATAGTACTAAACAATTTCAATTAAAAGTAGACATAAAAGGAACCAAGTAGGAAGAAGCATACATTTAGATCCAGAAGTGCAAAGCTGCATGAATGCATTTACTTCAAAAAACAAAAAAACAACAGAAGTAAACTTCGATGTGAAACTGCCAGCAAAAGAACATTTGGCTCCTCTGGAAACACTGGCAACATTTACGATGTTCCAGAAGAATTCAGGCAACCCGGAATGCGCAGGAAGCATCTCTTCTGCCTTATTAACTTCATTTACCTCCCGGGCCAAGACATACTTATGTGAGCAACGCAACTTTGATCATGTAAACTCACTTAATTCTATGAGGTTTTCTCCTTTTCCTTAATGCATGATGATAGAAAACACCAGACATATGGCACAATTTTCCAAATATACAAAAGAAGGGATTTCTCACAGTGAGTTAATGAAAATGCAAGCCAGCCATTGGCCTATAAAAATTAAGACTGATTGGGAGTGATTTAGAACACGGGCTCAATCAGACAACACATGGTCCTCCCTCACCCCAGGAATGACTCAAATGCTTGCATGAAACACAATTTGTCTCTTACGCGGAGATGGATGGATTTAGACAACAGATTCTCCACACTCGAGAGAAACGACACCAGCAAGAATACCTTTGGCTGTAGATGACTTGATAGAGAAAGTGACTCGGTCCTGGAGATGTGAAAATCTGGCAGTGTGTTGTTCTCAAAGGAGTCCAATTCCTCCCCAGCAGGAGTCCCTGTTCTTGAAGAACCGTGAGACTGGGACGTGCAGCAAACGTGAGCGTGCTCAGAATGCCCGTCCCGGGCACTGTCTGCATCCAAGGCATCCAGGCTGGAACTACAGAGCAAGGGCAGAAAGTAAGTCAGCAGGCAAGCAGACAGCACCATGGGGTTCTGTTACCAGACTCCCTCCCTGCTGTCGAGTGCAAGGGGTGTTCACTGAATTTCCAAGTGACAGTTAATCGATTTGTATTATTTTTTTTTCCCTCCCTCCAAGTCTCCTCTTTTTTAAACAACATTTCACATTTCCCCAAATGAATGCTTCTCCTGGCACAAGCCAGTCCCCTGAAGGCACTCTAAGAAACAAAACCTGGTTTGAGTTAGTACTAACCTCACTATTTATATTTGTAAATCTAATCATTACAAGTTGCAAATAGTAACTCTTCAAATATTTAACATGCAGACCAAACAGAGCCACTGGGCTGATGGGAGGGAGCCCAGGGGGAAGGGGGGAGATTTGACTGTGAGAAGACGCAGTGTGGCTGCTCTCCTGGGCCTGCAGCTGCGAAGCCAAGGAGGGCAGGGGGCCCAGGTGAGAAGAAATGTGTGGAAGTCTCGCCCCAGAACTGTGTCAGCAATGAGCCATACCAGGTTCTGCTCATGTCACACTACATTACCATTTTTAGAGATTTCTAGGAAAGATTCTCATGCAAAATCCATTGCAGTTTTGATTCTACTCATAACCCTAACACTACAGGCAGAGAATTGAAGCTGCCACATTCCCGGGTCATTCCATAACGTTTCCATTCAAATCAATGAAACTTCAAGGCCAACAGTGTTCCTGCTAACACAGGATGCATTTTTTGAACTTTTTTTTTTGGTTGTTGTCAATTCTGAAGTAAAAATGCTAGGAACACAATGAAACTGTTCAAATTTAGAAATACGGAGAAACAGAGAAGGAAATTTTGAATTCACCATTTTTGTTATTAAAAATAATAATAATAATAAAAAGTCCTGGGCAGAGTAGGCATCCTGTAAGTGGGCTCTGCTGTCCCTTGGGGCCTCCGCATCCCAGGTTGGAGGGCCCGGTTCAAGTCCTGGCTTTTCGGCTTCTGATACTTCTGGCTCATGCGCATCCTGGAAGGGCAGCAGGTGACAGACTTGGGTACCTGTCACCCACATTAGAAGACCCAGACGGAGCTCCAGGTTCCCGGCTTCAGCCTTTGTCAGCATCTGAAGAATGGGTTAACAGATGAAAGATTTTCTCCCTCCTCTAAAATGTGTGTGTGTGTGTGTGTGTGTGTTTGCAAAGTTGGGTTTTCTCCTTCAAGAACTCAGCAAGGGCCTTCATTCGGGCATTGAGGAAAAGACAACAATTTGTGGAGACGGGCTGCAGTACTCAAATATCTTGGAGTCCATTAAATTATATCTCAGCTTCCCCTCCCCGCTCAACACCCTTCCCTTCCCCCAAAAGAATCACCCCTTGAAGCTCAGCATTTCTGGTAAATGCCAGGGCTTTGAATGTAAAAACGCTAGTTCAGCATCCGATATTTCAGGATTCTGCGTGGTTCCTAATACAATCAAAAAGGCAGGAAAGGAAGGAGACTTCAGACGCCCCAGCTCTGGCATCTCTGGACATCTTTGGATTTGTCTCCCAGCTTATGATCTCTGCACTAAAAAAAAATAATAATTTCTTGGAATGATGGGTGGCCTGAGTGCCACTCTGGTCTGGTGCAAGCCTGTCTCATGGTAGACTGTGTGTCTCCATCATTAGGAAGGCATCCTAGATGCACCTGTGTTATCTCACATTGTATACTACATGGCATTTGTTTTTCTACTCACTAAAATTCAACTGCTGCTTTTCTCCATGATGCCATTAACCTAAGACACTGACAAGATAAGGACATGTGCATCCAGGTAACCTCCAGCCATGTTTCCACTTATAACAGTCATTTCCTGTGACCAGAATTCTCTTCCGAAAACTTCAGAACATATGCCAAGTGGTTTTTTTTTTTTCATGGTGTGAAAGGCAATTCTTGCTCCCAATTGCGATTTAAAAAAACAAAAAAGCTCTGAGAGATACAATTTTTAGCTACATTTTCATTTTACAACAGTAATTTTCTACTTTCCCCCAAGAGGAACAGGTCAATGAATGCTTTATTCTGTGACCAGAAAACAAGTTTTAGAATAAAATAAATTCTTGTTTTCTGTCACCTAAAATTTGTCACGTAAGATTTTTTAATTAGACACTCTATTGCTTATTTTCTCCTTGTGGCTTCTCAAAAAACTACTGAATTTAATTACTATAATGGCTATATATGGTGCATACTTTAGTAACATTAAAATATTTCAAACCTCCAAGTCTTAGCACTAAAGTCCAAGCTGGTCTTGTCCTATACTAACCCTTATTGTTATTGTGTGCCCTGACATTTCTCCATCATTAGAAGTTCCCAGACTCCCAGGCTATTCTTATTCTCCTATTCATGAAACAGGTGCATGTCGCTCTGAGGTCATTGTCAAGTGTGTCACACACTTCCACCACACATCCACTGAAGGAGGAAACTCCAGCTACAGAGTCAAACAGGGCCTTCCCATGGGCACTGGTCCTTTCCGCTAGATCCTATCCATGGGATAGTCAGCCTGTGGGACCAGCTCAGGGGTAGGTGAGAGATAGAGGGAAGTTCTGAGACGTAGCTAATCATCTTTCCCTGGGTCCTTCCTCTCTCTCCACAGTGACATCCTGAAGACTCTCCTATATTCCCAAGAGGATAAGCTCTACAGTGAAATGTTAAAACTTCCCAGAACACGACCACGGCCCAAGAGTGGAATGTGGACACTCCATGAATGTTTGCATAAGCAGCACAGAGACTGTTAGTGCCTTGTCTGCCCCACATTCCTAGAGGGCCTCCTGGGAGGGAAAAAAAAAGTCTAGGGCCACAGACCTGACAGATCTTAGAGAGGCCACCTCAATGTCCCTATCACACACTTCAATGAGTTCTGCGTTCGGAAGCCTCTGTCCCAACAGATCCAAGTACATGCAGAGCCATGAGTTTAATAACTGTGTAGCACCTACAAATTTACAGAATACAAAACAAAATTGCTTCTTTATCATTTATGTGTCAGACATCATCTCCAAGAACAATACCTGCTATTTAAGGTTTTTGGGTTTTTTACAAACTTGAGTTGTGTTATCAGTGCAAAATACCAGCACAATGATTAGTACCTACTGATTGCTGGCTCCTCTGTCTTTCCATCCTGATCAATTCAATCTCAGCTTCATAGTCATTCACTTACAGGATGTTCATTAATAAGCATTTATATACACATTCTGGGTCTGGCGCAATAGCTCAACTTGTTAATCCTCTACCTCCAAGTGCCAGGATGCCATATGGGCGCAAATTCATGTCCCAGCTGCTCTACTTCCCATCCAGCTTTCTACTTGTGGCCTGGGAAAGCAGCAGCAGATGGTCCAAAGCCTTGCATCCCTATACCCACATGGAAGACCTAGAAGAAGCTCCTGGCTTCGACTCCGGCCATTGCGGCCACTGGGGAGTGAAGCAGCAGATGGAAGATTCTTCTCTCTGTCTCTCCTTCTTTCTGTAAATCCTTTCCAAAACAAAAAAATCTGTTTTTAAAAAATTTATGTATGCATTCACATAGGTATATTACTCTATCTTCACTTTGAATAATATTTAATGTGAGAAAATCAGCATGTAACTATGAAGCAAAAAAAAAAAAAAAAAAGCAAGGGAAGGAAGTGAACTACTTCCCAAAGAAATTGGACAAAATGAAACCAGTTGGAAACTAGCTTATCCCCTATAGAACATTTACACTATGCAGCACAGACAGACACTAAAACAAGTGTAAGCATACAAAAGTATAAACATATAACCGCACTGTATACAATAAAACCATTGTGTTAATGACATTATCCATACACACAAGAAAACATACATAAGCATCTGTAAGTTCTGTAACACAGAAATGAACCAAAGACACATGAGCCCACTCAAGTGAAACTTGAACTTTCACCACACCATGACACACTCTGGCAGGCTACTGCATTCCCAAGCCTTAGTAAATGTAACAAATATTCTGAATTTGCGGATTGCCTCTACTTCCTCTTCTTATTTTTCTTTATAGCTTATGCACCCATTTATGAATCCTAATAACAAATTTGCTGATTTTTAAAAATTTTATGAAAATGAAAGCAAACCCAAGTATTTCTTGGCTTTTTAAATTCAACTTTATGCGGCAGAGAATACATGTGGATACAGTTGTAATTCATTTATTTTTAGCATATTACATTATGTTTCATAGAATATTTGGGTTGTTTGCTGTTGCAATAAAAATGAGGTGTCCTGTAAAAGCTCATTAAAACTGTGCCTTGCCTTTTAGTTTCATTTCTCTATGAATGGTCAGAAGTTATCAAGGATATTCAGGAGTAAAAGAGAAATTCACAAGGCCTGTGGAAGTGTATATTATGAAAAATGGACTTAAAACTGCTTTGCACCAATAGGCAATTAGCTTAACTTCAATTAGCTTTAACTAAATTTTCCATGCATCTTTGAAGTAACATTTCAGCACCTTCCAGCGCACAAGAGCAAAATGCACATTCTGCTTCATGCAATCATCTCGAATTATTTTCAAAAGTGTAGACAAGGTTGCTCCCATCAGTTCAACATAGGAATTCCCATGCCACCAAAACAGTCTCAGATTCTCAAGTTTTTGTCAACCTTGTAGGTATGAAAGGGTATCTCATCGTGCTTTCTTTTACTACACTTTAATCCGTTTTCTTACGTGCTTTAAAAAAAAAAAACAAGATGTATTGATTTATTTGAAAGGCAGAATTACAGAGAGGGAGAGAAAGAGATCTTTCATCTGCTGGTTCACTCCTCAACTGGCCACGGTAGCTAGGGCTGGGAAGGCCATGGAAACGAGCCCAGAGCTTCTCCTGGGTCTCCCACATACGTGGCAAGGACCCAAACACTTGGGTCATCTTCTGCCACATTCCAAGCCACATTAGCAGGGAGCTGGTAGCTCAGAAGTGGAGCAGCTGCGACAGGAACCAGCACCCATACAGGCTGTTAACACGACGGGTGGTGGCTTAACCGATGATGCCACAATGCCAGCCCCAAGAGCGACAACATTTTCGTGTACAGATGAAAGTGGTAGGGCTGATAAAGAATTCAAAACTAGAATTTTTCAAATGTAGCAATAAGGTTCTTAGATTTTCTCCTGTTTTTCTCTAGAATATGACATCTTACCTTCTTTTCTTAAGATGAGTTTGTTCTCTCTTGGATCCATGAAGACCTAAATGAAGATCAAATTGGAAGTGTGTGAGCTAGGAGCTAGGTGTGGACGTAAGGGCTGTCTGGCTTCAGGATTGGCCATCATTTCGTTGCCTGGGAACAACATACCAGGGCTGTTTTCCGCAGGAGGAAGGTACATGCAGCTCTGGGAGCCCGGACTGGAGCCCACGGCTTCAGCACTGGCGTTGGCATGAATCCCCTCTATATTGACATAGCTGATGTCCAGATCGCCAACCTGGAAAGTGGAAGAAGACTCGCTCAGCAAAGGCTGGGTACAATTCCCAAATGAAAACACTCCACCTTCTTTCTCATTTGTGTTTTTTTTTTTCTTTTTGTCTTGTTTTGTGTAAATAAAGAATTCTGCCACAATATGTTTCTGTTCTTGTGTCTGCCATCACATTGATCAGCTGAGGATTTTATAGGCTAGTGATTATAAAATAAGCAGAAGACACAAAAATCCCCCAACTTCAAAGTAAATCGTGTCACAGCAGTCAGGGAGTGCCACATCCAGCAAGCATCAAACCCCTTGTGCTCCTGCCTTGAGATTGCAGAGTGGGAAGATCATGGAGAACAGGGAGCTGGTGGAGGGCCCTAAGAACCACAGGGACGTCATCGCAGAAGAGGGTAGCCCAGCCTACAGATGTGAACAACGATCCTGCTTCATCCAAACACTGGATCTCAGCATGAAGGGGGTCATGACCTCAGGATTTGAGGTGGAGATCATCAAAATGCTCTATTGCTGAACAAGACAGTTACAAGGAAGAGAGTGACGCCACATGGAGACAAAGCCATCAAAGGCAAAAGCAACAAAAGGGAAAAATTGGGAGTCCTGAACTAACGAGCATCATTGTAATCACCTACATGGATGCTTAAACCCGTGGGTACAAATCTAAGGAGTAACGAAATGGCTACAATCTCAAAATATTCTGACAGTACACTTAAAAAATAATACTGACTTCACTAAAAAAGAATCATAGCAGAAGTAAAATAAGCCACCGATTATGGAAAAGATTTATACCATGCACCCGCTGATACGGTGCATCAAAGGTTACATCAGCTCTTCCACAGAACTCCAGCCAAACATTTAGAACATGAATCCAAGTATCAGAACATTACAAACAAAAATTTGAGACATTCACTCAAAAACAAAAAGGTGATGCTTACTCTTAAAAAGAAACCAAACTCATAAAAGGACAAAGATCTGTCCCAGATTAAAAGATACAACAACAAAAGACAGCACCCAAAAACCATTACTGACAGAACTGGCTAAACTGGAGCAAGATCTAAAGACTAGCATCGTATCAGTGATCATTTCCTGACTTTGTTAACCATGCAGCACTTTCACAAAAGTCCATGTGTTTAGGAAAGCACCACGAAAAATCGGGAAGTGAAAAAGGGGAAACAGTTGAAACATTTACATATATTTTAACTATCTGCACACACATTAAGCATACATACACACACTAAGAGAACAACACAACGAAACATGGAAAAATACTAGTATTTGGGGGAATTAGACAAAAAGATATACAAGCTTTCTATAAATATAAAACTAGGTAGGTCTAAATGATTAATTCCAAATACTCTTTCAAAAGAGTTTATATGACAGAGAAATGTTCGATTTGTCTTGAGAAGTTCCTTATCAGATAGCATGATACCCTTAAAATTTAATGGGAAATTTAAAAAAAATAGTATAAATAAATAAATGTTAAAACTAATTAATTAATTGAAAAGAGCCATATTATTAGACTTCTGTGCTGGGGTGAGGCAGAGAAGACACTTTGCAGGCATTGTTAGAAATCACCTTAACAGGCCTTCACATGATGCTCACTCTCCAAGCTGATACTGGAACACTGCAAGGCTGTGTGTTTCTGTCCTACACCTACATAATGAGCTCAGTGACTCCGGAATAGATTTCAGTTCTGCTTCTCAAGCTTCATCACATCTATTTAGCAACCGTCTTCATTTTGCAGGATGGAGCTACTTGAGTTATTTCTAATTCTGTGTCTCACTTTCCGGCTTTATGGGGGGGGGGGCGGGGTCAGACTTATTTGTGCCACATTACTAAAGCAATCCATTTCTCATTCAAAATATTCTCAAAGAGAACTTATATCCTAACTTTATTTTTGGTTTGGGAAAGTTTACATATTGATACATCTTAGAACACATAAAAATGTAACTTTCTCACAATACTGTCACTAGAAAGATTGCATATTTGACACAAGTGAAAATTGTCTAATATTCACTGAGGTTAAGAATAAAAGTAAACAAGATTTCGAGAACTATTTTACCTGGACTAAGAAAACACGGCAGCAGAAAAACAATTCTTTAAAAGAAGAACATGGTACAGATTTGCACGCTGAAAATTACAAAACACTAAAGAAATAAAATCAAAGAAGACAAAAACGTGGAAGGATTCCCCATGTTCACAAATTGTACAACTCATTCACTGTCAAAATATCTATTATACTCCAAGTGGTCTGTAGAATCAAAGCAAAGCTTTCTTTTTTTTTTTTTCATAGAAATAGAGAAAAACAATGCTCAAATTGGTATGGAGCCACAAGATACTCAAAATAGCTGAAACGAAGAATAAAGCTGGAGGCATCAGACTTCAAGGTGTTGATTTGCCTTACGGAACTATGAGAAAACACGGTGGTATTGGCCTGGGTTCAGACACACGGGTGAATCAAACAGAGGAGAAAATCCAGAAGTGAGCCAACACATACATAGTCCATTAAACCTTACCAAAGACACTAAAAAATATACAATGCTGAAAGAATAGTTTCTTACACCACACACACACACACACACACACAAGCAAAAAATATATTAAGGACTTAAATGTAAAACCTGAAACTGTAGAGCTCCCAGAAACACAGACACTAATTTTGGCAATGACTGCCTAGCGTAACACCAAAATCATGGTAAACAAAGCAGGAAAACGTCAAACTAAAGAGTCCCTGCACTGTACAGGAAATACCAACAACATTAAAAGGTGAGCTATACAATGCAAGAAAATATCCACAAGCCACGTGTCTGATAAGGAGTAAAATATCCAAGATACAGAAGGAAGCCATACAGCCCATCACAAAAATGCTATAACAACCTGATTCAAAACGGGCAAAGCACCTAAACCAACGTTTTCTTCCAAATCATCTTCAGTGAATGCAAATGAAAGCCACAGTGAGATAATCACCTCACACCTGTTTGGACAGCTTTTATCACAAGGTCCAAGGATAAGTGTTGGTGAGGCTAGGAACAAAGGGAACCCTGTAACACTGCCAATGAGAGTGTAAATTAGTACAACCTTCACCGAAGATACTGTGGAGTTTCCTCAAGAAAAATTACAACAAAACTACCGTTTAGCAGTATAAAGCCAAAGGAAACACTGTGGAGTCTTAGTATCCGTCTTTGAATGAACGACTTAAGGAAATCCTGCGTGTGCAAACGTGAGATTCCATGTGCAAACACAGAAATCACAGTCAATCTTTAAAAGGAAATTCTGTGTTCTGCAACGACATGCATAAACCTGGAGGACCTCAGGCTAAGTCATCTAACCTCAGCATGGAAAGATGAATTCTCCAGGACCATACTAATAAGCGGAACTCAAATTCTAAGAAGTAGAAAGTCAAACTGACCAGAACAGTGAAATGAGAAGACATTGGTTAACAGGTGCAGATTTAAGTTATACGGTAAAGAAGATCTGCAGGCCAGTATTGTGGCACAGTGGGTTAAGCTGCTCCCTGAACTGCCAGCATCCTGTAAGAGTGCTGGTTGGACCCAGCTGCTCCATTCTCATTTCTAATCTTTGCTGATATGTCTGGAAAATAATGGATGATGGCCCACGTGCTTGAGTCCCTGCCACCCATGTGGGACACCCAGATGGAGTTCCTGGCTCTTGGCTCCTGGCTTCAGCTTGGCCCAGCCATGCCCATTTGAAAAGTGAGCCAGCAGGTATACGGTCTCTTCCCATCACTACCACCTTTCACCTGCTTTCTATGTAACTTTTTCAGGTAAGCAAGTAAAGAAATTAAAAATCATTAAAAAAAAAAGAAAAGATGTTACGGAGATCTAAGGTATAGAATAGTTAATAATACTTCATTGTATACTTAAAATTTGCCAAGCAAGTTGGTGTCAACATACACACAATGTGAGATAATGGATACGTTTAATTAGCTTGATTGTCAGTGACATTTCCAGGTGAGACTCCACAGCAGCACCCCAGGGCCACGCTCAGGGAAAGTGGCAGAAGCAGCACCACCAGGCTGAACTTCCACCTTGCCAGGTCAGCCATGCCTTACCTGGTCTATCACCATACAGTTCGCGTACACTTCATCACCTCCATTCAGCATGTTAGAGAGATGGCCTGTGGCAAGGAATTCGGGGCGCAGCTTGGATTTTTTGAGGTCATCAAAGGAGCGATCTGGAGGGGAAATGAAAAGAGGACACGTGAAGCAGGAGGATGCTGGGTTACAGTGGGGCTTATCACTCTTAGTCAACGCATAAGGAAAAAAATCAAGAATACATATTTGAGGATGATATCTTGCCTCCTGCATGTTTTAAGAGCTATATGATTAGAATCTTCTCTTCTACATGGAAATCTTTTCAGTTTTCGAGAATGAGCCATTCATATAACGGCTCAACATAGACCAATAAATGGTTCTGGACAAATATTTTCCTACTTCAAGCCCTACTTTCCTTATCACCAGGGATCTTTTTTTTTTTTTTAAAAGATCTTTGCCTTCCATGTGCAACAGATTCAACTAATCTTCACTTCTCTTCATTAATGTTGTAGAAGCATCTTTATTCATGTTGTAGTGCTGTAATTCTCAGGTTCCAGAGACAAGCTCAGACTCAGTGACTTGTTAGTGAAACTGCCAAGCCAGGGCAGAGTTGAGGCAGTCCAGGTCTCCACTGCCTGTGCAACAATCAGTCTCACGCATTCTCTTTTATTGAAGTACAAGTGCTTGTGCTCCCTAGCACATTCCAGCTTCATCCTAAGTAAGTGAGCCTGCACACAGCAGAGACCCACACAGTCGAGACTTGACCCTCCTAACAGCCAACAGAGAGCTGAACAAAGCAAATGCAACCAGAGAGCCTTGTTCCCCATGACCGTGGGTTTTTTTCTAATCCACCAGATGATAACTTCTTAGAGTTTCCTCACCCACAAAAATGAATTTCTTATTATGCTTTCCTCATTGTGTGGTTACGAGGATTAAACAAGCCCAGGCACGTGGAGCAGTTACCTGTATTCATTGATCACTATCATTCTTGTGAATAGTGATGATTAACCCTGTTCACCGTGGACACCAATCACAGTGTTACACCAAAAAGTACGTTCTCCATATCCATCAATGACCTCAGTGGAGTCCACTCAACGCTGCAACCACAGCACATGCAATCGTCACTTTCATTACACCAAGTTTTCTTGAGTGGTTCAAAAGGGACAGTGTGGCTTCTGTTCCAAAATAAATGATACATGTGTCTCTTGCTTTTGTGATAATCCACAGGAGTGAATCAGAACACGAAAAAGACTAATAACCATCAGGAACATGTCCCATGAGCAAAACATTCTATCCTTTCATTGAAAGTCCTAGATGGTATTACAACAGCTACCAGACACATGACTTATACAAGGCAAACAGACTTTGCTTCTAAATTCTGCCATCTAAATTTACCTCTAACTTTTTATTCTTATTCCATACTTCATTTTTTAACTGAAGGGGTATATTTACAGAGAGAGAGAGAGATTTTCAATCCACTGTCTCACTCCCCAAATAACTGCAATGGCCAGAGCTGAGCTGATCCCATGCCAGGAGCCAGGAGCCTCCCCACAGCCTCCTACCTGGGTATAAGGACCCAAGGACCCAAGCCATTCTCTTCAGTTTTCCCGGTTATAGGGAGGGAGCTGGACCAGAAGCGAGGCAGCCAAGAATTGAATCAGAACCCGTATGGGATGCTACCTTTGCAGGCTGAGGACCAGCCAACTGAGTCCCTGTGCTGGCCCCTCTGTAACACATTATTTTATCGGTTAATAATACAATATGGAAAATCACAAATATTTGCCAAGTCTAGCCTTTGTTAATCACTATGCATCTGGATTTTAATTACACAAAAGAAGAGTTCCAACAGTTATACATTAATAAAATGACAAAACACTTTTCTCTGAAGAAAACACTTTGTTTTTGTCATTTTACAGAATGTTTTAAAAAAGAATCAGAAATAACTCAACATGGCCCTTAAAAGTAACCCAACTGAACTGCCCTCCCATGACATAAAATTCAGACTGATCAAACACTCAGCATTTTTGCCATTATTTTTTGGAGTTCATGCTGCTTATTAACTATTGCCAAATGAAGATTTTTATTGATGACTGAGCGAAGAACAAACAAGCTATGCTTAAAAAAAATACAACTACAAAGAGTGGATGGATTTGATTTTCAAAACATACAATGCAACGAAATAGGACTCCAAGCCACGTGATACTAGCAAGTGGTCACCTGACAGTCACACCCTTCACCACCACAGGGAACTTCATGTTCAGAATCCTGACCGCTCACTCACTTCACGATTAGCAGGACGAGGAACTAGCATGGTGTTTATCCTCACACAGGCAAAAGGCACTTGGACTCAACTTTCTCTCACACACAGATCCGCCTGGTCCTCCATTCCATGACAAGGTCTCACCCACGCAGTGCAAGAAACCAAAAGATGATTGCGTCTAGGCCCTGGTCCAAATCCGGGTCGAATCAGTTTCCAGCATAAAAGATCTAATCAGGGCTTAATAAAATGACGTTACCAAAGAAGGTGGACAATCTCGACCCTACAGTCCTGAAACCCAGAGAATTCTAAATACGAAGTTCAGAAACACGTTGGGCGCCATGACTTGTCCCGGGACTGGGATGGATCCCGTGGGGGCACCAAGAGCTGTGTTTGTACTGCAGACGTCTGCTACGACTGAGGAGGGGCGCGTCCTAGGGGCCCCCACCGCAGCTGTATCATCAAGTCCCAGCACTGCATGAAGACGGCAAAACTCCCGAGCTTCAGACACCTGACACCTGTGGCTCTCAGCTACCCACATCTGCCACTAGACACACACTGCCCCAGCTTTTGTCAGATTTCCAGCCCAAGGCACAATCTTGCCCTAAACGTCGCACTTAGATTATTACATTCTTTAGTGTTTTTATTCAGATGGCCTCATCTTTCTTCTTTTTAAACAAAATGAGTTTTTTTAAGAAATACTTTCTCTTCACTGTCCCTTGAGGGCCAATCAGAAGGAGAAGAGAGTGAGGGCACGAACACCAGGAAATGAACTTGAGACTAAATGCAGGAGCCTATCCATGTTGAGAATCAGAGGCAGGTTCTCTCAGGCACTGGAAAGCACTTGAGGTGGGTGGAGAGGTGGGGCGCCATGCTGAGACTGTCTCTTTCAATCTCCAGAGAGATCCAAGTTCAAAGGGAAATGCCCGCCTTACTACTGGATTCAACATCTTCTGTGTGACATTGGCCATGATGACCCAGATGTTGTCACCAACCTGTATTTTCCATAATGACTCCCCTAAGAAGCCTCGCTCTGCAGGGTGGCCATTGATATTACTGTACAAGAACACCACACAGCAGGGAAGAGCTAGAAATTTCTGTCTCTGCTCTGGTTCACCCACAGCCTGCCGCAGACGGGCTGGCTCACGCAGCGCCAGCAGCCAGTGCTGGAGGCTCTCTCCGGAGCACCCATAGTCTCCGCTTGCCAAATGACACCTTGCTTGAGACAACAGATGCCACAAGGGAACACCTTCCAGAAACTGTCACCAGCATGGCCCCCATGCCTGCATTCACCTCCACACGTGGTGCCACAAATGACCACCAGAGCGACACTGACCTTGAAAAGCAAGCATGTTGTCTACACTCAAGTGGCCAGTTGCTCTATTTCATTTCACCTCCTCCCCACAAAAAAAGCTACATTAACATTGCTTTAAAAAAAAAAAAGGGCTGATTCTTTTGAAAAGATTTTCCAGAAACACGGTTTTGTTACTTCTACATGTAATTTCCTCAGTGGTAAGTTAAATGAAAAAATATTGGCCTTTCAAGTTTCTTGTCAATCAGTATAAAGAAATAATTTGCTATGAGAATACAGTTCTGTCTATAAACAGTTTGTCTCAGAAAAAAAAGAGAGAGAGAGAGAGAGAGCAAGAGAGAGGAAGAAAGACAGTAAGAAAAAGATTTTAACCCATTTTGGGGAAAGCACTAATCTTTAATATTTGCTAAATCTATATTTCAAGGCCAGTATAAAAATGTCCAAAGCTGGGAAACTTAAATTAGCAAAAAGCAGTCAGTATATTGTTAAAAGTCTGGACCTTGGAACCAGACTGGCTGGGTTCTGGCTTCCACTTAACCATCAGCTGTGTGACCTTGGAGAAATTACTTACCTTCTCTGTGCCGCCATGTCCTAATCTACAAAAGTAAGGATACTAGAACATCTGCCTCATCAGACTGCCCTAAGGATGGAATGAGTTAATATTTTAAGTCATTGGGACAGAATCTATACCTATTCAGCACTAGTTAAATGTTTATTAATACATGCTTGATATTGTGTAGTGTAGTTTTCTTACTTTCAGGTAATTTTGATTTTTAAGAAACGACATATTTTGAAAACAAACCCCAGATGAGTAGAAAGCACAAAACATTTCAGTTGCTGTGCGAAGACCCTTCCAAACCGTGTGTCTTATTTCAGCCTTAGCTCACGTTCAAAAATTTTGAGGACCATCCAGGCTGTAATAATTGAAAAACATAAAAGGGGATGAAAAAACAGAGCTCACTAAACCACCCTAGGCGCTTCTCCCGGGGCCTGACACGGAAGCAGCAACAGGGAATAAAGTAGGACATTCAGAGGTGGGGTTTCCCAAGAGCACAGGGAGGGTTCAGAAATCAAGACGTCCAGACACGATCCAGTGGACGGGCCAAGGTCTCCATCTCACACGGGGTGCCCGCGGGACAAACAGTCACTCGAAGGGGATCCCCGCTCCTCCCTGGCCCAATCTGGCTGCTTTGTAACCTGATCCAGGTAGCTTAATCAGGGCTCCAACTTTCAGCCTCACTTCCTGGTCACAGTAGACACCCTAGTTAGGTGGTACAGAGAAACTGAACATGAATCTATTTTACCTGAAGAAAGAAGGGAATTGGTGCTAGTAGCAGGAGAGGGGGAGAGAGCTGTGATGCCTCCCTCGGCTCCAACGTTTGCCCAGGACACGCGGGACTTCTGCAAGCTGCCTTCCCACGAAACCCAGCTGGCGGCCAAAGGAGAATGTGGCCTACTTCAGACTACGCCCAGACAAACACAACGAACAGGCCGCTGGCCTGCTTCCCCATCTGGGTGCCAAATGCTCACCTGTCAAAGCCACCTCAGTCCAGAAATCTCTTAACCCAGTC